GTAAACTTTGCACTACTCCCTGTTCTTTCTGTCAGAAGAAATGTGACACAACTCAAAGGCTGATGCTGGCCTATTGTCTGACACTGTTGTGATATGTTATTATTGGAAACAACACAAGAGGCTTTGAATGCTCTCAAGCATCTTGGCTACACTGACTCACGCATACGACTTATGACGTTTATTATCTATCCGACATTGACGCCCAACACAATTGAACTGCTAAACCGGTTTGAAAAGTTCTCAGTCAGTCACTTAACACTTAAATAACCTCTTTAAACATTTTTCAAAGGGATGAATGCTTCCTAGTATATGTTCTACTCCTTCAGATACAAGACAACCCCTTTAAGTGGTCTAGAACACATACAAAAATTCCCACCCTTATTTAAAAGCAGACCTGGATATATGAAATAGCTTGTATATTACCCTTGCTGGTGGAGTAAATTGCATTAAAATTCACTTTTTTCAATGTTATTACCCCAATCCTTTTTCCATAATATAAAATATTTCCAGTATGGAAAGACAGGAGAGAGTTTTTGCATACACATAAATCCGTTGGTGGTTTTATTTCTCAGCCTTCCAGAAAGACATTTTACAGAAACCAAAAAACTGCTTTCTCAACTTCATGCCTGGTGCTGCGTTCACCAGCAAGGACAAACAAAAATGACACCCCTCCCCTCTCTTCCCTGTCACATTTTTGCCCGCCTTCCAAATTCAGGGGTGAGTGAAGAGTTAAATACACAAATAAACACTGTTCTCTCTTTATTTAACATAAACCTAAAGGCTAAGTTCATCATTTTATCAACACAAATATTGGACCTTCAAAAGCAACAAGGTCTGCTTAAAACTTATAGTTGTTAAGCTAATTGACACACATAAAATCACACATTTTCTGACCAATCACATCCAAGACTCCGCTTAATCTTACGGCACATATAAGGAGCCCTTTGGAGGTGTGCTCCCCCTTTGAGCACTGGCACAAGATGGCTTCCAGGTCTGAACAAAGGAAATGGTGATTAATTTGTGATTGTGTGTTTTTAGGACATTTTAAGAAGTTAAATTAACTGAGATGCATTATATTAATTTGCCTATGTAAATTGTTATTATAACTTTAAATTAAATAAAGACAATTCTGATGAAAAATGTACTACCTTTCTTAACAAACAAATAGTCAAGCCAAATGTTAGTGAGGGAGTGTGTGCGCTTCCTCACAGTCACTTAGGGACTTCATGAGATAAAATAAAGGCTGAAGCTGTATAGGGAACTTTCCAGAACATTTAAAGGTCATGTGACATCTGTGTCACGGTGGGTCCTTAACAAACATTGTATATCATCTGAAGAAATAATGCAAATATATACAATACAGGTAAAGTACAAAACAGGCTGCTAATGGTATTTCCTAGTATTCTTCCGAGTACGTGTCTGTTCATGATATTGATAAGAACCAGCATGAAATCACTGTATTTATAAAGTGCTAAATATCAACCTGTGTGTTTCTTCTAACCTTAATGTCAATACTTTTTAATACCACACAATGCACTTTAATACCTGTTCCATGATGATGCTAGCCAAAGTATGAAAGTCTGATTGAAAACTAGTGGGGAGGACACACCCTGAAATTATTTGTTCGTATATGAAATAGTTTTCAGTACTTCCAACTGTTTGTAATTGTATTTCTTTTTTAAAATGTAACCTAAAGAACTTTTACTGAATAAGAATAGTTTTAAAGTGGACTCCATGTGGAATATACAGGAAGTTTCAATTATTCATTGAGTTAATTTCCCCATATGCCTGTTTAAATGCCACAAAGTGAAAATGATGACCTTGCTTGATCATTATGGGTTAAGTTGAGAAGTAGTAGAGATGCGTGTGATTTAAACGGCTTCCTGTGGAGCTGATGCTTCACTAAACATGGCATAGGAAAATTGTAAAACCTACAAGTCAAAACATTTTTTTCAACTTTATAAAGAAGTCTAAATAGTTATTTAACTGTATGCAACTTGGACCAGGATAAACGGCATATAATGGATGATTAATTAACTGATGGAAATCATGAATTTATTCAAGTTTATAGAACGTTTTTTTGAATTGACACTAATCACCCATTACTGTGTCAGGGACTCTCTGAACTATCGTGGCAACAGCAGAAGCGTTTGTTTTAGATCTGGCGATGCTGACGGATCTCCACAAAAAGGATTTAAGTATTTTCGGTTTGTAGAGTGCTCACTTTTTGAAACAAAGACATTTGATGACACATTTCAGAGCTGCAGTTATCTCCGTATACTGCTGTTTTCAAGGATCTTTAGAATATGGCAGGATAACTAGTACGCAGTAGCAATCTATCCTCCTGTTCTATTTTAAAGTTTAATAACAGGATGGATAGCTTTTGGGTTTAGTGACGTCTTTGGCTAGCAGTCCGCTTGTTGTTTCTTTACCCTGCACCTCCTAGTGATTAGCCTGTCAATCAAATAGTGTTGATCATTATGTATTAAAAACATTTTCTTGCACAACAACTTGAAACTTAATTTTTGTATCTCATTGAATCCAAAATGAAAGTATTAACATGTCAGTCTCTTTTCATAAACCTGGTCAAGAAACTGAATATTTCCCCTATGCATGTTTTATTATTTTTTGAAACATTATCTCCTTTTGTGTGTTTTCTGCTTTTTCATTGTTTGTGTTTGTGCTACGGCCTATGATAAAGAAATCTAATTTCAATGTTTCTCCCGGTTAAATAAAACCGTAAAATAACAATTCAGCTCAGGAGAAAAAAATGTAATCCTCAAAAGATAATGATAAACCTGATGTAGAAGATATATTATACATATTGACATTCTTTCAATTATATTGTGCCCTTTTGTTGAACAAACTAACTTAGTTACTTAAACTTAAAGGTGGGGTAGGTAAGTTTGAGAAACCGGCTCGAGATACACTTTTTGTTATATTCCATGGAATGCTCTTAACATCCCGATAGCAATGAATATCTTAAGTGCTTTGACAGAAAATCCATAAAAAAATGTCATCTGTGGAAGCCGTAGTACTGTAAAAAGTACGACCAATCATTTTAGCCGACCCAGTTAAAATAACTGGATGGCCTACCTGCCTGTCAGCCTTCCATCTGTGCACACATTTATCTCGTGCCCTCATTGGTCATGTGCACGTTTGTGTGTGTTCTTGCACACTCAAGCTGGTTTCTCCAAAATTACCTGCCACACCTTTAAGATAAGACCTGTGAGATTGCGTAAGCCGATAGTATCAAGGTGATCATGATTATGCATCACTAAAAGTAAAGTTACACCTAAGTCATACAAATTATAATATTATATAGTCAATGTTTTTTTCTCCAGTGTATTTAATGAATGTAATGTCAGTCCCCTCTTAGGACATTATTATTTGTTACGTTTGATTTGCTGGCAGTAGTTGAACAAACAATTAAATAATGGAAAAGAAAAAAATACAAATGTGCAAAATCTTCTCTGCATATGCCAAACAGCTTTTGTTTTGCTGTTGACTCTTGTTTGCTGTTGTTAGTGGATTGGATGATTTAAGTCTGAAACAAGACATATTGGTAATTTATCCAATTAACATCAGCAGCCTCAGTGTGGCTGTGTGTGGAAGAACCACATTTTTGACACATTTTTCATGGGCGCAACCCACATACTCAGCTCTGTGGCTCATTCCACAAAGGCATGTCCCTCATAAATTTGGCACCCACCTTTTGAAAGGGAAACAAACCGGCTTTCCAACAGTATAAGATGTATTGCCAAGAAGACACACATTTCCTTACTTTTTGTGCTATGTTTATAAGCATTTTCAGAATTGATCGTTTGCTACAGTAAGTTAATAGTCATCTCTAGTCATGAGTTCTGTGTCATTTTCAGTTCATTTGACTAAGTGATAGGTTGTCTACATACCTGTATAACATTCTGTTTAGTTGTTACTCAGAAGCATTTATGTTAGCTAAAGCAATACTATGGTATTACAGCCCTGTGTAGTTATATTTTCTGGCAAAATTACGATCCCAGTCTGCAGTTCTTAATGAGGAATGGACAAATGTATTGTAGAGGTGTGTTATGTATGTGTTTGTAATGTAGTTGCCTGCAGTCGCTCTTTAGGCAATCTAATGAAGGGAAACACAGTTAAGGCTGTGAGTAAATGGCACTCTGATCTGGTGCTGCGCTTCTCAGAGACTGTTGATTTATTAGTCCTGCTGCCTTCTGATTGCCTTCTGATTCTGCAACAATTTCATAAAGAGGTTTTCCTACTATATACCAGCAGTGGGCAGCAGATACTGTGAGAATCCTTGACATGAATTTGATCGATGCAGACTGGTTTACAAACTATTTTTCTTTGCCAAAATATGCTGGAGAGTGTTAATTCCTTGTGCGTTGTCAGGGACCAAGCAGTAAGGCAACAGGACACAGGAGTTGTTTAATCTGTTATTTTATTTTCCCATAAATCCAAAACAAACATTACCAAGAATCTCTAATAACTAGGCCTATAAAAGAGGTCAACAGAAAATACATCTTATGAATATAACAGCAACTTAACAGGTGTTAACGCAACAAACTGAACTCCTAAAAGGGCTATAATAAGTTACTCAAGGAATGATGTATTTCCAAAAATGTCTGTCTGGAAAGTGTTTTAATAAATACTCATTTAATATTCAAAATGAACTATGCACTACTAGTACTCTCTTGAGTTTCTTCCCATTAAGTGGGTATGACACATTCATAGTTTGTTAAATGTTAAGAAGCCCTCAGACGCTGTTTCTTGCAAGATGTTGCCGGCCGGCGGGGGCACCGAGCTTAACAGGTTCTGATTCACTGGCACTACAAAGGCTGAGAAGGCATATTGTAAGGTGCTTTTGTGAAATGTAATCATAGAAAATCACATTGATTGTTCCTAAACATCACTGGGGCTTTATGTAGGGTCCTGACATTAAACCTGATAACATACACTACCTATGAAAATCGATAAATAACACACAAAAGACAAATACACTTCTTTTAGAGATTTTGTATTCTGTAAATCTTCGGACAGAATATATACAAACAAGACATTTTACAAAAATACATTTCATAAATAAAAAGATTGACATTGAATTGTTTAGACATGTATTTGTGTACAATGATTATAAAGCTCTGCATTGGTTTAGGGTTGTTTTTTTCTGTTCTTGGAGAGGGATCCCTCCATAGCCTTTTCCTGAGGTTTCTTCTATTTGTCCTTCGTTTATTTGTTGAGTTTGTTTTTTTTTCTTTTCTGTAGGGTTCTACGAACAGAAGGTTTCATATAGGCTGTACAGATTGTAAAGCCCCCTGAAGCTGATTTGTGATATTAGGCTGTATTTATACATTATTATACATCATTTATACATTTAAATGGATTAGACGATTGAGTGATGTGTTTCTTCATTTTAATCTATGACATTTTTTCTAAACTTAAACAAGATAGCATTAGTTACTGTCACAAAATTCAATATTCTTATAGCAAATTGATCATTGAAGCAAGATTCATTTGTACATTATTAGGACAATTCTTTTTTACATTCCTGGGGTAATGTTACATGTCTGGCTTATTGGTCTAATGATGATTGAATGGACGCGTTACTCAAAGTAAAATTTCATTTCAAGTTCATCTGAAGCTGAACAAGACTGAAGACATCATGAATCCTTTTGAACCAACAGAGTATTTCACCATAAATAAATCATTTTTCATTCCAGTGATGGAAGTCATTTAGTGATTACAATTCAAATTTTAAAAACAGCCCTTAGCTATTGCTGGTTTGATAGTATCCATGACAACAGACAGAGGCAGGATGCGGTGACAAGACTGATCTTGTGTCTTACTCCACTGGAAGCTGTAAATGAGAACAAAAAGAAACAAAACATTAAATCAACAAAAAGTAGAATGTTCTTTTTGTTTTATTAAGTAGCACTCAGTATTTACTTACATATGCCATTTACGCTAATGGAGCTGCCTTCAATGTCGAATCCAACGACTGTTGAAGCTGCGTTGATCAAAGCGTTCGCAATCTGAGTGCTATTAGGAGCAGATGTGCTTCCAAATGAAACATCAATGACGTTGATGATTGATCCGTTACTGCAGAAAGAGAAAAACAATATTGTTTGAAATATCAGATATAGGATCCTACTCTTTATTATAACACTTTAATAGTTTAAAAAAATTACCTGAATGAAACAACATCTAGTGATTTGAAGGACGAAGGGAATACCTTTTGGAAAACAGGTGTAAGCTGTAGAAACACAAAACAAAACAAAATACTTTTTCACATAAACCTTTGCATTGGAATTTAGAGCTTTACTCATTTATTTGACTTGATCTTTATTGGTCTTTCATCAATTAATAAATCATAATTATAGTGTGGTAACTGTGGAGTAGGCTTCTCGTATTTTGAGTGGGGCGCTTTACTGTAGCTCTCTGATAAAATATTGCCGTAGATGTACCAGCAGATTTTATTTAGGGGTAAACTTACCTGAGTATTTATCATTGTAGCTCGACCTTTATAAGCAGCAGAAGATGGATTCAGCAAGTCATTGGTAAATGTGTCTTGAACAGATCTGAAAGTCACCCTTTTTGTTATAAGGGCTATAGTAGTAGGTGCTGTAGTCGCAGGTCGAGCCGTTGTAGGTGCAGCAGTTTTAGGTTTAGCAGTTGTAGGTGCTGCAGTTTTAGGTTTAGCAGTTGTAGGTGCTGCAGTTTTAGGTTTAGCAGTTGTAGGTGCTGCCGTTTTAGGTTTAGCAGTTGTCGGTGCTGTAGTTATAGCTGAGACTGGACCTGCTGTAAAAACAGACATATACATATTATGTTAATATGTATCAGTGCCCAAACCAAGAGGATTTATGTTTAATTTGTTTTAGGTAAAACCCTGGTGCCAGTTTTACAGAAATATATCAATAATGAAGGGCTTACAAAAATATATTTGTTCTGAAGTTTCTTAGGAAAAAGTATTCTTGCAACAAATAACAATTTATTTACAAGATATGACATTAAACAATACACAACTGTAAACTGAAAATCATTAAAGTAGTGTTCATTAATTTTGTCTTTACCTACATTTTTTCCTTAGCTACATACTTTTGTTAGTAAATTATTTATAAACCAAGCATGCACAGCAAATGTTATTCAAAATGGTTTAGAAACTTATTGGAGAGAAACATTGTGTTGTGTTTACTTACATTCAACTTTGACTGAATCAGGACTTATGCTCACGTCGAAGGTACTGTTGGTATTATTCACAGCTTCTACTAAGGTTTGAACCACTTCATTATTCTGTGGGAGATCTGCAAGAGGAGTAGTGCTGTTGAACACAACTCCCATTTCTGCTTCCGTTCCGGGCGCCCTTATTACTGATAAAGCGCTGTTTTATAACATCAAACGAAAAAAGAGAACAATTATGATTTGAAAGACTCTGTCTGTTGTCTTGTGTCGTCTGATTTACATGTGTCACTATCAACACTAAATAATTTGTCTTTGTGAGACCCAAATCCGGAAACCTTTTTTACCTGAGCTTTTTCACCTTGCAGTGGGAAAATTTGTTTCCAAATTTGGCTTTGTATATCTTAGAACACTGCAAAAAAAAGAAACATTGAAAGACTTTTAGTAACTTTTGTCACAATATACTTAAAATAAAAATTCAGAGATACTCAAATCCAGGTGATATAACAAAAAAACATTCACCGTTGATAGAAGTCGTGTTTCTAATTCTTTGTATTCCGGGCTTGTGTTGTCATTATAAGCATCAATAAATGGTTCTCCCTCCATGGCTGCTGTGATGACGTACGTTGGAGCAGCAGCAGTCGTAGGAGCTGCAGTTGTAGATGAAGCAGTTGTGGGTGCTGCAGTTGTGGGTGCTGCAGTTGTGGGTGCAGCAGTCGTAGGTATTGCAGTTGTGGGTGCAGCAGATGTAAGTGCTGCAGTTGTGAGTGCAGCAGTCGTAGGTGCTGCAGTTGTGGGTGCAGCAGTCGTAGGTGCAGCAGTTGTAGGTGCTGCAGTTGTAGGTGAAGCAGTTGTAGGTGCTGCAGTTGTAGGGGCAGCTGTTGTATGTGCAGAAATCATAGGGGCAGCAGTTGTAGGGGCTGCAGTTGTAGGTGCTGCAGTTGTGGGTGCAGCAGTTGTGGGTGCTGCAGTTGTAGGTGCAGCAGTTGTGGGTGCTGCAGTTGTAGGTGCAGCAATTGTAAGGGATGCAGTTGTAGCTGAAGTAGTCGTAGGTGCAGCAGTTGTGGGTGCTGCAGTTGTAGGTGAATCAGTTGTAGGTGCTGCAGTTGTAGGGGCAGCAGTTGTAGGTGCTGCAGTTGTAGGTGAAGCAGTTGTGGGTGCAGCAGTCGTAGGTGTTGCAGTTGTGGATGCAGCAGTTGTAGGTGCTGCAGTCGTAGGTGCTGCTGTTGTTGTTGCAATAGTAGTAGGTGCTGCTGTCGTAGGTGAAATTGTCGTAGGTGTAGCAGTAGTTGTAGGTGGCCCCGTTGTCGGAGCAGCAGTAATCGTAGGTGCTGCTGTTGTTGTTGCAACAGTAGTGGGGGCTGCAGTTGTAGGTGCAGCAGTAGTTGTAGGTTGCACAATTATCGGAGCAGCAGTAGTTGTAGGTGCTGCTGTTGTTGTTGCAACAGTAGTAGCTGCTGCTGTCGTAGGTGCAGTTGTCGTAGGTGCAGCAGTAGTTGTAGGTGCTGCTGTTGTTGTAGCAACAGTAGTAGGGGCTGCAGTTGAAGGTGCAGCAGTAGTTGTAGGTTGCAGTGTTGTCGGAGCAGCAGTAGTTGTAGGTGGTGCTGTTGTTGTTGCAATAGTAGTAGGTGCTGCTGTTGTAGTTGCAGTTGTCGTAGGTGCAGCAGTAGTTGTAGGTGCTGCTGTTTTTGCAACAGTAGTAGGGGCTGCAGTTGTAGGTGCAGCAGTAGTTGTAGGTTGCACCATTGTCGGAGCAGCAGTAGTTGTAGTTGCTGCTTTTGTTGTTACAACAGTAGTAGGGGCTGCAGTTGTAGGTGCAGCAGTAGTTGTAGGTGGCACCGTTGTCGGAGCAGCAGTAGTTGTAGGTGCTGCTGTTGTTGTTGCAACAGTAGTAGGGGCTGCAGTTGTATATGTAGCAGTAGTTGTAGGTGGCACCGTCGTCGGAGCAGCAATAGTTATAGGTGCTGCTGTTGTTGTTGCAACAGTAGTAGGTGCTGCTGATGTAGGGGCAGCAGCAGTTGTAGGTGGCACTGTTGTCGGAGCAGCAGTAGTTGTAGGTTGCACCGTTGTTGGAGCAGCAGTAGTTGTAGGTGCTGCTGTTGTTGTTGCAACAGTAGTATGGGCTGCAGTTGTAGGTGTAGCAGTAGTTGTAGGTGGCACTGTCGTCAGAGCAGCAGTAGTTGTAGTTTGCACCGTTGTCGGAGCAGCAGTAGTTGTAGGTGCTGCTGTTGTTGTTGCAACAGTAGTAGGTGCTGCTGTCGTAGGTGAATTAGTAGTTGTAGGTTGCACTGTTGATGGAGCAGCAGTAGTTGTAGGTGATACTGTTGTTGTTGCAACAGTAGTAGGGGCTGCAGTTGTAGGTGAAGCAGTAGTTGTAGGTTGCACTGTTGTCGGAGCAGCAGTAGTTGTAGGTGCTGCTGTTGTTGTTGCAACAGTAGTAGGTGCTGCTGTCGTAGATACAGCAGTAGTTGTAGGTGGCACAGTTGTTGGATTAGCAGTAGTAGTAGTTGCTGCTGTTGTAGGTGTAGCTGTAGTTGTTTGTTGCACCGTTGATGGAGCAGCAGTAGTTGTAGGTGCTGCTGTTGTTGTTGCAACAGTTGTAGGGGCTGCAGTTGTAGGTGCAGCAGTAGTTGTAGGTTGCACCATTGTCGGAGCAGCAGTAGTTGTAGTTGCTGCTTTTGTTGTTACAACAGTAGTAGGGGCTGCAGTTGTAGGTGCAGCAGTAGTTGTAGGTTGCACCGTTGTTGGAGCAGCAGTAGATGTAGGTGCTGCTGTTGTTGTTGCAACAGTAGTAGGGGCTGCAGTTGTAGGTGTAGCAGTAGTTGTAGGTGGCACCGTCGTCGGAGCAGCAGTAGTTATAGGTGCTGCTGTTGTTGTTGCAACAGTAGTTGGTGCTGCTGTCGTAGGGGCAGCAGTAGATGTAGGTGGCACTGTTGTCGGAGCAGCAGTAGTTGTAGGTTGCACCGTTGTTGGAGCAGCAGTAGTTGTAGGTGCTGCTGTTGTTGTTGCAACAGTAGTAGGGGCTGCAGTTGTAGGTGTAGCAGTAGTTGTAGGTGGCACTGTCGTCAGAGCAGCAGTAGTTGTAGTTTGCACCGTTGTCGGAGCAGCAGTAGTTGTAGGTGCTGCTGTTGTTGTTGCAACAGTAGTAGGTGCTGCTGTCGTAGGTGAATTAGTAGTTGTAGGTTGCACTGTTGATGGAGCAGCAGTAGTTGTAGGTGCTGCTGTTGTTGTTGCAACAGTAGTAGCTGCTGCTGTCGTAGGTGCAGTTGTCGTAGGTGCAGCAGTAGTTGTAGGTGCTGCTGTTGTTGTTGCAACAGTAGTAGGTGCTGCTGTCGTAGATACAGCAGTAGTTGTAGGTGGCACAGTTGTTGGATTAGCAGTAGTAGTAGTTGCTGCTGTTGTAGGTGTAGCTGTAGTTGTTTGTTGCACCGTTGATGGAGCAGCAGTAGTTGTAGGTGCTGCTGTTGTTGTTGCAACAGTTGTAGGTGCTGCTGTTGTAGTTGCAACAGTAGTAGGGCCTGCTGTTGTAGGTGTAGCTGTAGTTGTAGGTTGCACCGTTGTCTGAGCAGCAGTAGTTGTAGGTGCTGCTGTTGTTGTTGCAACAGCAGTACGGGCTGCAGTTGTAGGTGTAGCTGTAGGTGTAGGTTGCACCGTTGTCGGAGCAGCAGTAGTTGTAGGTGCTGCTGATGTTGTTGCTTCAGTAGTAGGGCCTGCAGTTGTAGGTGAAGCATTAGTTGTAGGTTGCACCGTTGATGGAGCAGCAGTAGTTGTAGGTGCAGCTGTTGTTGTTGCAACAGTAGTAGGTGCTGCTGTTGTAGGTGCAGCAGTAGTTGTAGGTTGCACCGTGTCTGAGCAGCAGTAGTTGTAGGTGCTGCTGTTGTTGTTGCAACAGTAGTAGGGGCTGCAGTTGTAGGTGTAGCCGTAGTTGTAGGTTGCACTGTTGTCGGAGCAGCAGTAGTTGTAGGTGCTGCTGTTGTTGTTGCTTCAGTAGTAGGGCCTGCAGTTGTAGGTGAAGCAGTAGTTGTAGGTTGCACCGTTGATGGGAGCAGCAGTAGTTGTAGGTGCAGCTGTTGTTGTTGCAACAGTAGTAGGTGCTGCTGTTGTAGGTGCAGCAGTAGTTGTAGGTTGCACCGTTGTCTGAGCAGCAGTAGTTGTAGGTGCTGCTGTTGTTGTTGCAACAGTAGTAGGGGCTGCAGTTGTAGGTGTAGCTGTAGTTGTAGGTTGCACTGTTGTCGGAGCAGCAGTAGTTGTAGGTGCTGCTGTTGTTGTTGCTTCAGTAGTAGGGCCTGCAGTTGTAGGTGAAGCAGTAGTTGTAGGTTGCACCGTTGTCGGAGCAGCAGTAGTTGTAGGTGCTACTGTTGTTGTTGCAACAGTAGTAGGGGCTGCAGTTGTAGGTGAATTAGTAGTTGTAGGTTGCACTGTTGATGGAGCAGCCGTAGTTGTAGGTGATACTGTTGTTGTTGCAACAGTAGTAGGGGCTGCAGTTGTAGGTGCAGCAGTAGTTGTAGGTGCTGCTGTTGTTGTTGCAACAGTTGTAGGGGCTGCAGTTGTAGGTGCAGCAGTAGGTGTAGGTGCTGCTGTTGTTGTTGCAACAGTTGTAGGTGCTGCTGTTGTAGTTGCAACAGTAGTAGGGCCTGCTGTTGTAGGTGTAGCTGTAGTTGTAGGTTGCACCGTTGTCGGAGCAGCAGTAGTTGTAGGTGCTGCTGTTGTTGTTGCTTCAGTAGTAGGGCCTGCAGTTGTAGGTGAAGCAGTAGTTGTAGGTTGCACCGTTGATGGATTAGCAGTAGTTGTAGGTGCTGCTGTTGTAGTTGCAACAGTAGTAGGGCCTGCTGTTGTAGGTGTAGATGTAGTTGTAAGTTGCACTATTGTTGGAGCAGCAGTAGTTGTAGGTTGCACTGTTGTCGGAGCAGCAGTAGTTGTAGGTGCTGCTGTTGTTGTTGCAACAGTAGTAGGTGCTGCTGTCGTATGTGCAGCAGTAGTTGTAGGTTGCACCATTGTCGGATTAGCAGTAGTTGTAGGTGCTGTTGTCGTAGGTGTAGCTGTAGTTGTAGGTTGCACCGTTGTCGGAGCAGCAGTAGTTGTAGGTGCTGCTGTTGTTGTTGCTTCAGTAGTAGGGCCTGCAGTTGTAAGTGAAGCAGTAGTTGTAGGTTGCACCGTTGTTGGAGCAGCAGTAGTTGTAGGTGCTGCTGTTGTTGTTGCAACAGTAGTAGGTGCTGCTGTCGTAGATACAGCAGTAGTTGTAGGTGGCACAGTTGTTGGATTAGCAGTAGTAGTAGTTGCTGCTGTTGTAGGTGTAGCTGTAGTTGTTGGTTGCACCGTTGATGGAGCAGCAGTAGTTGTAGGTGCTGCTGTTGTTGTTGCAACAGTAGTAGGTGCTGCTGTCATAGGTGCAGCAGTAGTTGTAGGTTGCACCGTTTTCGGATTAGCAGTAGTTGTAGGTGCTGCTGTTGTAGGTGTAGATGTAGTTGAAGGTTGCACTGTTGTCGGGGCAGCAGTAGTTGTAGGTGCTGCTGTTGTTGTTGCAACAGTTGTAGGTGCTGCTGTTGTAGTTGCAACAGTAGTAGAGCCTGCTGTTGTAGGTGTAGCTGTAGTTGTAGGTTGCACCGTGGTCGGAGCGGCAGTAGTTGTAGGTGCTGACGTTGTTGTTGCAACAGTAGTAGGGGCTGCAGTTGTAGATGCAGCAGTAGTTGTAGGTGCTGCTGTTGTTGTTGCAACAGTTGTATGTGCTGCTGTTGTAGTTACAACAGTAATAGGGGCTGCAGTTGTAGGTGAAGCAGTAGTTGTAGGTTGCACTGTTGATGGAGCAGCAGTAGTTGTAGGTGCTGTTGTCGTAGGTGTAGCTGTAGTTGTAGGTTGCACCATTGTCGGATTAGCAGTAGTTGTAGGTGCTGCTGTTGTAGGTGTAGTTGAAGGTTGCACTGTTGTCGGAGCAGCAGTAGTTGTAGGTGCTGCTGTTGTTGTTGCAACAGTAGTAGGGGCTGCAGTTGTAGGTGCAGCAGTAGTTGTAGGTGCTGCTGTAGTTGTTGCAACAGTTGTAGGGGCTGCAGTTGTAGGTGAATCAGTAGTTGTAGGTTGCACCGTTGTCGGAGCAGCAGTAGTTGTAGGTGCTACTGTTGTTGTTGCAACAGTAGTAGGTGCTGCTGTCGTAGGTGCAGCAGTAGTTGTAGGTTGCACCGTAGTCTGAGCAGCAGTAGTTGTAGGTGCTGCTGTTGTTGTTGCAACAGTAGTAGGGGCTGCAGTTGTAGGGGTAGCTGTAGTTGTAGGTTGCACCGTTGTCAGAGCAGCAGTAGTTGTAGGTGCTGCTGTTGGTGTTGCTTCAGTAGTAGGGCCTGCAGTTGTAGGTGAAGCAGTAGTTGTAGGTTGCACCGTTGATGGAGTAGCAGAAGTGGTAGGTGCAGCTGTTGTTGTTGCAACAGTAGTAGCTGCTGCTGTTGTAGGTGCAGCAGTAGTTGTAGGTTGCACCGTTGTCGGAGCAGCAGTAGTTGTAGGTGCTGCTGTTGTTGTTGCTTCAGTAGTAGGGCCTGCAGTTGTAGGTGAAGCAGTAGTTGTAGGTTGCACTGTTGATGGAGCAGCAGTAGTTGTAGGTGCAGCTGTTGTTGTTGCAACAGTAGTAGGTGCTGCTGTTGTAGGTGAATTAGTAGTTGTAGGTTGCACTGTTGATGGAGCAGCAGTAGTTGTAGGTGCTGCTGTTGTTGTTGCAACAGTAGTAGGGGCTGCAGTTGTAGGTGAATTAGTAGTTGTTGGTTGCACTGTTGATGGAGCAGCAGTAGTTGTAGGTGATACTGTTGTCGGAGAATTAGTTGTTGTAGGTGCTGCAGTCGTTGGAGCAGCAGTGGAAGCTATAAATGAGGAAAAAAGTAAAACAAACATTAATTTAAAAAAAGTATAATTTATTTTTATTTTTATTAAGTAGCACTCAGTATTTACTTACATATGCCATTAACGCTAATGGAGCTGCTTTCAATGTCGAATCCAACGACTGTTGCGTTGATCAAAGTGCTCGCAATCTCATTGTTATTAGGAGCGGATGTGCTTACAAATGAAACGTCAATGACGCTGATGATTGATCCGTTACTAAAGAAAGAGAAAATATTATATTGTTTGAAATATCAGATATAGGATCCTACTCTTTATTATAAAACCTTAATAGTCTTAAAAGATTACCTGAATGAAACAACATCTAGTGATTTGAAGGACGAAGGGAATGCGTTTTGGTAAACAGGTGTAAGCTGTAGAAACACAAAACAAAACATTTTTTTCACATAAACCTTTGCCTTGGAATTTACAGCTTTACTATATGACTTGATCTTTATTGGTCTTTCATCAATTTAATAATTCCTTATCATAGTATGGAAACTGGAGTAGGTTTCTCATATTTTGAGTGGGTGCTTTAGCTCTCTGATAACATAATGCAATAAGCGTTCTAGCAGATTTTATTTATATTGGAAAAGTTACCTGTTCCTTCACCAATGTAGCCCGACCTTTAAAATCATCAGAAGATGGATCCTGCAATTCAATAGTAAATGTGTCTAGGACAGAACGGAAAGTCACCCTTCTAAGGGCTATAGTAGTAGGTGCTGTAGTTGCAGATCGAGCCGTTGTAGGTGCTGCAGTTGTCAGGGCAACAGACGTAGGTGCAGCAGTTGTAGGTGCTGCTGTTGTTGTCGCAACAGTAGTAGGTGCTGCTGTCGTAGGTGCAGCAGTAGTTGTAGGTTGCACCGTTGTCGGAGCAGCAGTAGTTGTAGGTGCTGCTGTTGTTGTTGCAACAGTAGTAGGGGCTGCAGTTGTAGGTGAAGCAGTAGTTGTAGTTTGCACCGTTGTCGGAGCAGCAGTAGTTGTAGGTGCTGCTGTTGTTGTTGCAACAGTAGTAGGGGCTGCAGTTGTAGGTGAAGCAGTAGTTGTAGTTTGCACCGTTGATGGAGCAGCAGTAGTTGTAGGTGCTGCTGTTGTTGTTGCAACAGTAGTAGGGGCTGCTGTCGTAAGTGCAGCAGTAGTTGTAGGTTGCACCGTTGTCGGATTAGCAGTAGTTGTAGGTGTTGATGTTGTTGTTGCAACAGTTGTAGGTGCTGCTGTTGTAGTTGCAACAGTAGTAGGGGCTGCAGTTGTAGGTGAATTAGTAGTTGTAGGTTGCACTGTTGATGGAGCAGCAGTAGTTGTAGGTGCTGCTGTTGTTGTTGCAACAGTAGTAGGGGCTGCTGTCGTAAGTGCAGCAGTAGTTGTAGGTTGCACCGTTGTCGGATTAGCAGTAGTTGTAGGTTGCACCGTTGTCGGAGCAGCACTAGTTGTAGGTGCTGCTGTTGTTGTTGCAACAGTTGTAGGGGCTGCAGTTGTAGGTGAAGCAGTAGTTGTAGGTTGCACCGTTGTCGGAGCAGCAGTAGTTGTAGGTGCTACTGTTGTTGCTGCAACAGTAGTAGGTGCTGCTGTCGTAGGTGCAGCAGTAGTTGTAGGTTGCACCGTTGTCTGAACAGCAGTAGTTGTAGGTGCTGCTGTTGTTGTTGCAACAGTAGTAGGTGCTGCTGTTGTAGGTGCAGCAGTAGTTGTAGGTTGCACCGTTGATGGAGCAGCAGTAGTTGTAGGTGCAGCTGTTGTTGTTGCAACAGTAGTAGGTGCAGCAGTAATTGTAGGTTGCACCGTTGTCGGAGCAGCAGTAGTTGTAGGTGCTGCTGTTGTTGTTGCAACAGTAGTAGGTGCTGCTGTCGTAGGTGCAGCTGTAGTTGTAGGTTGCACCGTGGTCGGAGCAGCAGTAGTTGTAGGTGCTGCTGTTCTTGTTACACCAGTAGAAGGGGCTGCAGTTGTAGGTGAAGCAGTAGTTGTAGGTTGCACCGTTGTCGGAGCAGCAGTAGTTGTAGGTGCTACTGTTGTTGTTGCAACAGTAGTAGGGGCTGCAGTTGTAGGTGAATTAGTAGTTGTAGGTTGCACTGTTGATGGAGCAGCCATAGTTGTAGGTGATACTGTTGTTGCAACAGTAGTAGGGGCTACAGTTGTAGGTGCAGCAGTAGTTGTAGGTGCTGCTGTTGTTGTTGCAACAGTTGTAGGGGCTGCAGTTGTAGGTGCCGCAGTAGTTGTAGGTGCTGCTGTTGTTGTTGCAACAGTAGTAGGGGCTGCAGTTGTAGGTGTAGCTGTAGTTCTAGGTTGCACCGTTGTCGGAGCAGCAGTAGTTGTAGGTGCTGCTGTTGTTGTTGCAACAGTAGTAGCTGCTGCTGTCGTAGGTGCAGTTGTCGTAGGTGCAGCAGTAGTTGTAGGTGCTGCTGTTGTTGTAGCAACAGTAGTAGGGGCTGCAGTTGAAGGTGCAGCAGTAGTTGTAGGTTGCAGTGTTGTCGGAGCAGCAGTAGTTGTAGGTGGTGCTGTTGTTGTTGCAATAGTAGTAGGTGCTACTGTTGTAGTTGCAGTTGTCGTAGGTGCAGCAGTAGTTGTAGGTGCTGCTGTTTTTGCAACAGTAGTAGGGGCTGCAGTTGTAGGTGCAGCAGTAGTTGTAGGTTGCACCATTGTCGGAGCAGCAGTAGTTGTAGTTGCTGCTTTTGTTGTTACAACAGTAGTAGGGGCTGCAGTTGTAGGTGCAGCAGTAGTTGTAGGTTGCACCGTTGTTGGAGCAGCAGTAGATGTAGGTGCTGCTGTTGTTGTTGCAACAGTAGTAGGGGCTGCAGTTGTAGGTGTAGCAGTAGTTGTAGGTGGCACCGTCGTCGGAGCAGCAGTAGTTATAGGTGCTGCTGTTGTTGTTGCAACAGTAGTTGGTGCTGCTGTCGTAGGGGCAGCAGTAGATGTAGGTGGCACTGTTGTCGGAGCAGCAGTAGTTGTAGGTTGCACCGTTGTTGGAGCAGCAGTAGTTGTAGGTGCTGCTGTAGTTGTTGCAACAGTAGTAGGGGCTGCAGTTGTAGGTGTAGCAGTAGTTGTAGGTGGCACTGTCGTCAGAGCAGCAGTAGTTGTAGTTTGCACCGTTGTCGGAGCAGCAGTAGTTGTAGGTGCTGCTGTTGTTGTTGCAACAGTAGTAGGTGCTGCTGTCGTAGGTGAATTAGTAGTTGTAGGTTGCACTGTTGATGGAGCAGCAGTAGTTGTAGGTGATACTGTTGTTGTTGCAACAGTAGTAGGGGCTGCAGTTGTAGGTGAAGCAGTAGTTGTAGGTTGCACTGTTGTCGGAGCAGCAGTAGTTGTAGGTGCTGCTGTTGTTGTTGCAACAGTAGTAGGTGCTGCTGTCGTAGATACAGCAGTAGTTGTAGGTGGCACAGTTGTTGGATTAGCAGTAGTAGTAGTTGCTGCTGTTGTAGGTGTAGCTGTAGTTGTTTGTTGCACCGTTGATGGAGCAGCAGTAGTTGTAGGTGCTGCTGTTGTTGTTGCAACAGTTGTAGGTTCTGCTGTTGTAGTTGCAACAGTAGTAGGGCCTGCTGTTGTAGGTGTAGCTGTAGTTGTAGGTTGCACCGTTGTCTGAGCAGCAGTAGTTGTAGGTGCTGCTTTTGTTGTTGCAACAGCAGTACGGGCTGCAGTTGTAGGTGTAGCTGTAGGTGTAGGTTGCACCGTTGTCGGAGCAGCAGTAGTTGTAGGTGCTGCTGATGTTGTTGCTTCAGTAGTAGGGCCTGCAGTTGTAGGTGAAGCATTAGTTGTAGGTTGCACCGTTGATGGAGCAGCAGTAGTTGTAGGTGCAGCTGTTGTTGTTGCAACAGTAGTAGGTGCTGCTGTTGTAGGTGCAGCAGTAGTTGTAGGTTGCAACGTTGTCTGAGCAGCAGTAGTTGTAGGTGCTGCTGTTGTTGTTGCAACAGTAGTAGGGGCTGCAGTTGTAGGTGTAGCCGTAGTTGTAGGTTGCACTGTTGTCGGAGCAGCAGTAGTTGTAGGTGCTGCTGTTGTTGTTGCTTCAGTAGTAGGGCCTGCAGTTGTAGGTGAAGCAGTAGTTGTAGGTTGCACCGTTGATGGAGCAGCAGTAGTTGTAGGTGCAGCTGTTGTTGTTGCAACAGTAGTAGGTGCTGCTGTTGTAGGTGCAGCAGTAGTTGTAGGTTGCACCGTTGTCTGAGCAGCAGTAGTTGTAGGTGCTGCTGTTGTTGTTGCAACAGTAGTAGGGGCTGCAGTTGTAGGTGTAGCTGTAGTTGTAGGTTGCACTGTTGTCGGAGCAGCAGTAGTTGTAGGTGCTGCTGTTGTTGTTGCTTCAGTAGTAGGGCCTGCAGTTGTAGGTGAAGCAGTAGTTGTAGGTTGCACCGTTGTCGGAGCAGCAGTAGTTGTAGGTGCTACTGTTGTTGTTGCAACAGTAGTAGGGGCTGCAGTTGTAGGTGAATTAGTAGTTGTAGGTTGCACTGTTGATGGAGCAGCCGTAGTTGTAGGTGATACTGTTGTTGTTGCAACAGTGGTAGGGGCTGCAGTTGTAGGTGCAGCAGTAGTTGTAGGTGCTGCTGTTGTTGTTGCAACAGTTGTAGGGGCTGCAGTTGTAGGTGCAGCAGTAGGTGTAGGTGCTGCTGTTGTTGTTGCAACAGTTGTAGGTGCTGCTGTTGTAGTTGCAACAGTAGTAGGGCCTGCTGTTGTAGGTGTAGCTGTAGTTGTAGGTTGCACCGTTGTCGGAGCAGCAGTAGTTGTAGGTGCTGCTGTTGTTGTTGCTTCAGTAGTAGGGCCTGCAGTTGTAGGTGAAGCAGTAGTTGTAGGTTGCACCGTTGATGGATTAGCAGTAGTTGTAGGTGCTGCTGTTGTAGTTGCAACAGTAGTAGGGCCTGCTGTTGTAGGTGTAGATGTAGTTGTAAGTTGCACTATTGTTGGAGCAGCAGTAGTTGTAGGTTGCACTGTTGTCGGAGCAGCAGTAGTTGTAGGTGCTGCTGTTGTTGTTGCAACAGTAGTAGGTGCTGCTGTCGTATGTGCAGCAGTAGTTGTAGGTTGCACCATTGTCGGATTAGCAGTAGTTGTAGGTGCTGTTGTCGTAGGTGTAGCTGTAGTTGTAGGTTGCACCGTTGTCGGAGCAGCAGTAGTTGTAGGTGCTGCTGTTGTTGTTGCTTCAGTAGTAGGGCCTGCAGTTGTAAGTGAAGCAGTAGTTGTAGGTTGCACCGTTGTTGGAGCAGCAGTAGTTGTAGGTGCTGCTGTTGTTGTTGCAACAGTAGTAGGTGCTGCTGTCGTAGATACAGCAGTAGTTGTAGGTGGCACAGTTGTTGGATTAGCAGTAGTAGTAGTTGCTGCTGTTGTAGGTGTAGCTGTAGTTGTTTGTTGCACCGTTGATGGAGCAGCAGTAGTTGTAGGTGCTGCTGTTGTTGTTGCAACAGTTGTAGGTGCTGCTGTTGTAGTTGCAACAGTAGTAGGGCCTGCTGTTGTAGGTGTAGCTGTAGTTGTAGGTTGCACCGTTGTCTGAGCAGCAGTAGTTGTAGGTGCTGCTGTTGTTGTTGCAACAGCAGTACGGGCTGCAGTTGTAGGTGTAGCTGTAGGTGTAGGTTGCACCGTTGTCGGAGCAGCAGTAGTTGTAGGTGCTGCTGATGTTGTTGCTTCAGTAGTAGGGCCTGCAGTTGTAGGTGAAGCATTAGTTGTAGGTTGCACCGTTGATGGAGCAGCAGTAGTTGTAGGTGCAGCTGTTGTTGTTGCAACAGTAGTAGGTGCTGCTGTTGTAGGTGCAGCAGTAGTTGTAGGTTGCACCGTTGTCTGAGCAGCAGTAGTTGTAGGTGCTGCTGTTGTTGTTGCAACAGTAGTAGGGGCTGCAGTTGTAGGTGTAGCCGTAGTTGTAGGTTGCACTGTTGTCGGAGCAGCAGTAGTTGTAGGTGCTGCTGTTGTTGTTGCTTCAGTAGTAGGGCCTGCAGTTGTAGGTGAAGCAGTAGTTGTAGGTTGCACCGTTGATGGAGCAGCAGTAGTTGTAGGTGCAGCTGTTGTTGTTGCAACAGTAGTAGGTGCTGCTGTTGTAGGTGCAGCAGTAGTTGTAGGTTGCACCGTTGTCTGAGCAGCAGTAGTTGTAGGTGCTGCTGTTGTTGTTGCAACAGTAGTAGGGGCTGCAGTTGTAGGTGTAGCTGTAGTTGTAGGTTGCACTGTTGTCGGAGCAGCAGTAGTTGTAGGTGCTGCTGTTGTTGTTGCTTCAGTAGTAGGGCCTGCAGTTGTAGGTGAAGCAGTAGTTGTAGGTTGCACCGTTGTCGGAGCAGCAGTAGTTGTAGGTGCTACTGTTGTTGTTGCAACAGTAGTAGGGGCTGCAGTTGTAGGTGAATTAGTAGTTGTAGGTTGCACTGTTGATGGAGCAGCCGTAGTTGTAGGTGATACTGTTGTTGTTGCAACAGTAGTAGGGGCTGCAGTTGTAGGTGCAGCAGTAGTTGTAGGTGCTGCTGTTGTTGTTGCAACAGTTGTAGGGGCTGCAGTTGTAGGTGCAGCAGTAGGTGTAGGTGCTGCTGTTGTTGTTGCAACAGTTGTAGGTGCTGCTGTTGTAGTTGCAACAGTAGTAGAGCCTGCTGTTGTAGGTGTAGCTGTAGTTGTAGGTTGCACCGTGGTCGGAGCGGCAGTAGTTGTAGGTGCTGACGTTGTTGTTGCAACAGTAGTAGGGGCTGCAGTTGTAGATGCAGCAGTAGTTGTAGGTGCTGCTGTTGTTGTTGCAACAGTTGTATGTGCTGCTGTTGTAGTTACAACAGTAATAGGGGCTGCAGTTGTAGGTGAAGCAGTAGTTGTAGGTTGCACTGTTGATGGAGCAGCAGTAGTTGTAGGTGCTGTTGTCGTAGGTGTAGCTGTAGTTGTAGGTTGCACCGTTGTCGGATTAGCAGTAGTTGTAGGTGCTGCTGTTGTAGGTGTAGTTGAAGGTTGCACTGTTGTCGGAGCAGCAGTAGTTGTAGGTGCTGCTGTTGTTGTTGCAACAGTAGTAGGGGCTGCAGTTGTAGGTGCAGCAGTAGTTGTAGGTGCTGCTGTAGTTGTTGCAACAGTTGTAGGGGCTGCAGTTGTAGGTGAAGCAGTAGTTGTAGGTTGCACCGTTGTCGGATTAGCAGTAGTTGTAGGTGCTGCTGTTGTAGGTGTAGTTGAAGGTTGCACTGTTGTCGGAGCAGCAGTAGTTGTAGGTGCTACTGTTGTTGTTGCAACAGTAGTAGGTGCTGCTGTCGTAGGTGCAGCAGTAGTTGTAGGTTGCACCGTAGTCTGAGCAGCAGTAGTTGTAGGTGCTGCTGTTGTTGTTGCAACAGTAGTAGGGGCTGCAGTTGTAGGGGTAGCTGTAGTTGTAGGTTGCACCGTTGTCAGAGCAGCAGTAGTTGTAGGTGCTGCTGTTGGTGTTGCTTCAGTAGTAGGGCCTGCAGTTGTAGGTGAAGCAGTAGTTGTAGGTTGCACCGTTGATGGAGTAGCAGAAGTGGTAGGTGCAGCTGTTGTTGTTGCAACAGTAGTAGCTGCTGCTGTTGTAGGTGCAGCAGTAGTTGTAGGTTGCACCGTTGTCGGAGCAGCAGTAGTTGTAGGTGCTGCTGTTGTTGTTGCAACAGTACTAGGGGCTGCAGTTGTAGGTGAATTAGTAGTTGTTGGTTGCACTGTTGATGGAGCAGCAGTAGTTGTAGGTGATACTGTTGTCGGAGAATTAGTTGTTGTAGGTGCTGCAGTCGTTGGAGCAGCAGTGGAAGCTGTAAATGAGGAAAAAAGTAAAACAAACATTAATTTAAAAAAAGTATAATTTATTTTTATTTTTATTAAGTAGCACTCAGTATTTACTTACATATGCCATTTACGCTAATGGAGCTGCTTTCAATGTCGAATCCAACGACTGTTGCATTGATCAAAGTGCTCGCAATCTCATTGTTATTAGGAGCGGATGTGCTTACAAATGAAACGTCAATGACGCTGATGATTGATCCGTTACTAAAGAAAGAGAAAATATTATATTGTTTGAAATATCAGATATAGGATCCTACTCTTTATTATAAAACCTTAATAGTCTTAAAAGATTACCTGAATGAAACAACATCTAGTGATTTGAAGGACGAAGGGAATGCGTTTTGGTAAACAGGTGTAAGCTGTAGAAACACAAAACAAAACATTTTTTTCACATAAACCTTTGCCTTGGAATTTACAGCTTTACTATATGACTTGATCTTTATTGGTCTTTCATCAATTTAATAATTCCTTATCATAGTATGGAAACTGGAGTAGGTTTCTCATATTTTGAGTGGGTGCTTTAGCTCTCTGATAACATAATGCAATAAGCGTTCTAGCAGATTTTATTTATATTGGAAAAGTTACCTGTTCCTTCACCAATGTAGCCCGACCTTTAAAATCATCAGAAGATGGATCCTGCAATTCAATAGTAAATGTGTCTAGGACAGAACGGAAAGTCACCCTTCTAAGGGCTATAGTAGTAGGTGCTGTAGTTGCAGATCGAGCCGTTGTAGGTGCTGCAGTTGTCAGGGCAACAGACGTAGGTGCAGCAGTTGTAGGTGCTGCTGTTGTTGTCGCAACAGTAGTAGGTGCTGCTGTCGTAGGAGCAGCAGTAGTTGTAGGTGCTGCTGTTGTTGTTGCAACAGTAGTAGGGGCTGCAGTTGTAGGTGCAGCAGTAGTTGTAGGTTGCACCGTTGTCGGAGCAGCAGTAGTTGTAGGTGCTGCTGTTGTTGTTGCAACAGTAGTAGGGGCTGCAGTTGTAGGTGAAGCAGTAGTTGTAGTTTGCACCGTTGTCGGAGCAGCAGTAGTTGTAGGTGCTGCTGTTGTTTTTGCAACAGTAGTAGGGGTTGCAGTTGTAGGTGAATTATTAGTTGTAGGTTGCACTGTTGATGGAGCAGCAGTAGTTGTAGGTGATACTGTTGTTGTTGCAACAGTAGTAGGTCCTGCTGTCGTAGGTGCAGCAGTAGTTGTAGGTTGCACCGTTGTCGGATTAGCAGAAGTTGTAGGTGCTGCTGTTGTGGGTGTAGCTGTAGTTGTATGTTGCACCGTTTTCGGAGCAGCAGTAGTTGTAGGCGCTGCTGTTGTTGTTGCTTCAGTAGTAGGACCTGCAGTTGTAGATGCAGCAGTAGTTGTAGGTGTTGATGTTGTTGTTGCAACAGTTGTAGGTGCTGCTGTTGTAGTTGCAACAGTAGTAGGGGCTGCAGTTGTAGGTGAATTAGTAGTTGTAGGTTGCACTGTTGATGGAGCAGCAGTAGTTGTAGGTGCTGCTGTGGTTGTTGCAACAGTAGTAGGGGCTGCTGTCGTAAGTGCAGCAGTAGTTGTAGGTTGCACCGTTGTCGGATTAGCAGTAGTTGTAGGTTGCACCGTTGTCGGAGCAGCAGTAGTTGTAGGTGCTACTGTTGTTGCTGCAACAGTAGTAGGTGCTGCTGTCGTAGGTGCAGCAGTAGTTGTAGGTTGCACCGTTGTCTGAACAGCAGTAGTTGTAGGTGCTGCTGTTGTTGTTGCAACAGTAGTAGGTGCTGCTGTTGTAGGTGAAGCAGTAGTTGTAGGTTGCACCGTTGATGGAGCAGCAGTAGTTGTAGGTGCAGCTGTTGTTGTTGCAACAGTAGTAGGTGCAGCAGTAGTTGTAGGTTGCACCGTTGTCGGAGCAGCAGTAGTTGTAGGTGCTGCTGTTGTTGTTGCAACAGTAGTAGGTGCTGCTGTCGTAGGTGCAGCAGTAGTTGTAGGTTGCACCGTGGTCGGAGCAGCAGTAGTTGTAGGTGCTGCTGTTCTTGTTACACCAGTAGAAGGGGCTGCAGTTGTAGGTGAAGCAGTAGTTGTAGGTTGCACCGTTGTCGGAGCAGCAGTAGTTGTAGGTGCTACTGTTGTTGCAACAGTAGTAGGGGCTGCAGTTGTAGGTGAATTAGTAGTTGTAGGTTGCACTGTTGATGGAGCAGCCATAGTTGTAGGTGATACTGTTGTTGCAACAGTAGTAGGGGCTGCAGTTGTAGGTGCAGCAGTAGTTGTAGGTGCTGCTGTTGTGGGTGTAGCTGTAGTTGTATGTTGCACCGTTGTCGGAGCAGCAGTAGTTGTAGGTGCTACTGTTGTTGTTGCAACAGTAGTAGGGGCTGCAGTTGTAGGTGAATTAGTAGTTGTAGGTTGCACTGTTGATGGAGCAGCCGTAGTTGTAGGTGATACTGTTGTTGTTGCAACAGTAGTAGGGGCTGCAGTTGTAGGTGCAGCAGTAGTTGTAGGTGCTGCTGTTGTTGTTGCAACAGTTGTAGGGGCTGCAGTTGTAGGTGCAGCAGTAGTTGTAGGTGCTGCTGTTGTTGTTGCAATAGTTGTAGGTGCTGCTGTTGTAGTTGCAACAGTAGTAGGGCCTGCTGTTGTAGGTGTAGCTGTAGTTGTAGGTTGCACCGTTGTCGGAGCAGCAGTAGTTGTAGGTGCTGCTGTTGTTGTTGCTTCAGTAGTAGGGCCTGCAGTTGTAGGTGAAGCAGTAGTTGTAGGTTGCACCGTTGATGGATTAGCAGTAGTTGTAGGTGCTGCTGTTGTAGTTGCAACAGTAGTAGGGCCTGCTGTTGTAGGTGTAGATGTAGTTGTAGGTTGCACCGTTGTCTGAGCAGCAGTAGTTGTAGGTGCTGCTGTTGTTGTTGCAACAGTAGTAGGGGCTGCAGTTGTAGGTGTAGCTGTAGTTCTAGGTTGCACCGTTGTCGGAGCAGCAGTAGTTGTAGGTGCTGCTGTTGTTGTTGCTTCAGTAGTAGGGCCTGCAGTTGTAGGTGAAGCAGTAGTTGTAGGTTGCACCGTTGATGGAGCAGCAGTAGTTGTAGGTGCTGCATTTGTTGTTACACCAGTAGTAGGTGCAGCTGTTGTAGGTGCAGCAGTAGTTGTAGGTTGCACCGTTGTCGGAGCAGCAGTAGTTGTAGGTGCTGCTGTTGTTGTTGCAACAGTAGTAGGTGCTGCTGTCGTAGGTGCAGCAGTAGTTGTAGGTTGCACCGTTGTCGGAGCAGCAGTAGTTGTAGGTGCTGCTGTTGTTGTTGCAACAGTAGTAGGTGCTGCAGTTGTAGGTGAATTAGTAGTTGTAGGTTGCACTGTTGATGGAGCAGCAATAGTTGTAGGTGATACTGTTGTCGGAGAATTCGTTGTTGTAGGTGCTGCAGTCGTTGGAGCAGCAGTGGAAGCTGTAAATGAGGAAAAAAGTAAAACAAACATTAATTTAAAAAAAGTATAATTTATTTTAATTCGTATTAAGTAGCACTCAGTATTTACTTACATATGCCATTTACGCTAATGGAGCTGCTTTCAATGTCGAATCCAACGACTGTTGCGTTGATCAAAGTGCTCGCAATCTTATTGTTATTAGGAGCAGATGTGCTTACAAATGAAACGTCAATGACGCTGATGATTGATCCGTTACTAAAGAAAGAGAAAATATTATATTGTTTGAAATATCAGATATAGGATCCTACTCTTTATTATAAAACCTTAATAGTCTTAAAAGATTACCTGAATGAAACAACATCTAGTGATTTGAAGGACGAAGGGAATGCGTTTTGGTAAACAGGTGTAAGCTGTAGAAACACAAAACAAAACATTTTTTTCACATAAACCTTAGCCTTGGAATTTACAGCTTTACTATATGACTTGATCTTTATTGGTCTTTCATCAATTTAATAATTCCTTATCATAGCATTGAAACTGGAGTAGGTTTCTCATATTTTGAGTGGGTGCTTTAGCTCTCTGATAACATAATGCAATAAGCGTTCTAGCAGATTTTATTTATATTGGAAAAGTTACCTGTTCCTTCACCAATGTAGCCCGACCTTTAAAATCATCAGAAGATGGATCCTGCAATTCAATAGTAAATGTGTCTCGGACAGAAAGGAAAGTCACCCTTCTAAGGGCTACAGTGGTAGGTGCTGTAGTTGCAGATCGAGCCGTTGTAGGTGCTGCAGTTGTCAGGGCAACAGACGTAGGTGCAGCAGTTGTAGGTGCTGCTGTTGTTGTCGCAACAGTAGTAGGTGCTGCTGTCGTAGGAGCAGCAGTAGTTGTAGGTGCTGCTGTTGTTGTTGCAACAGTAGTAGGGGCTGCAGTTGTAGGTGAAGCAGTAGTTGTAGGTTGCACCGTTGACGGAGCAGCAGTAGTTGCAGGTGCTGCTGTTGTTGTTGCAACAGTAGTAGGGGCTGCAGTTGTAGGTGAAGCTGTAGTTGTAGGTTGCACCGTTGTCGGAGCAGCAGTAGTTGTAGGTGCTGCTGTTGTTGTTGCTTCAGTAGTAGGGCCTGCAGTTGTAGGTGAAGCAGTAGTTGTAGGTTTCACCGTTGTCGGAGCAGCAGTAGTTGTAGGTGCTGCTGTTGTTGTTGCAACAGTAGTAGGTGCTGCTGTTGTAGGTGCAGCAGTAGTTGTAGGTTGCACCGTTGTCTGAGCAGCAGTAGTTGTAGGTGCTGCTGTTGTTGTTGCAACAGTAGTAGGTGCTGCTGTTGTAGGTGCAGCAGTAGTTGTAGGTTGCACCGTTGTCTGAGCAGCAGTAGTTGTAGGTGCTGCTGTTGTTGTTGCAACAGTAGTAGGGGCTGCAGTAGTCGGTGTAGCTGTAGTTGTAGGTTGCACCGTTGATGGAGCAGCAGTAGTTGTAGGTGCTGCTGTTGTTGTTGCAACAGTAGTAGGGGCTGCAGTTGTAGGTGAATTAGTAGTTGTAGGTTGCACCGTTGTCGGAGCAGCAGTAGTTGTAGGTGCTACTGTTGTTGTTGCAACAGTAGTAGGGGCTGCAGTTGTAGGTGAATTAGTAGTTGTAGGTTGCACTGTTGATGGAGCAGCCGTAGTTGTAGGTGATACTGTTGTTGTTGCAACAGTAGTAGGGGCTGCAGTTGTAGGTGCAGCAGTAGTTGTAGGTGCTGCTGTTGTTGTTGCAACAGTTGTAGGTGCTGCTGTTGTAGTTGCAACAGTAGTAGGGCCTGCTGTTGTAGGTGTAGCTGTAGTTGTAGGTTGCACCGTTGTCTGAGCAGCAGTAGTTGTAGGTGCTGCTGTTGTTGTTGCAACAGCAGTAGGGGCTGCAGTTGTAGGTGTAGCTGTAGTTGTAGGTTGCACCGTTGTCGGAGCAGCAGTAGTTGTAGGTGCTGCTGTTGTTGTTGCTTCAGTAGTAGGGCCTGCAGTTGTAGGTGAAGCAGTAGTTGTAGGTTGCACCGTTGATGGATTAGCAGTAGTTGTAGGTGCAGCTGTTGTTGTTGCAACAGTAGTAGGTGCTGCTGTTGTAGGTGCAGCAGTAGTGGTAGGTTGCACCGTTGTCTGAGCAGCAGTAGTTGTAGGTGCTGCTGTTGTTGTTGCAACAGTAGTAGGGGCTGCAGTAGTAGGTGTAGCTGTAGTTGTAGGTTGCACTGTTGTCGGAGCAGCAGTAGTTGTAGGTGCTGCTGTTGTTGTTGCTTCAGTAGTAGGGCCTGCAGTTGTAGGTGAAGCAGTAGTTGTAGGTTGCACCGTTGATGGAGCAGCAGTAGTTGTAGGTGCTGCTGTTGTTGTTGCAACAGTAGTAGGTGCTGCTGTTGTAGGTGCAGCAGTAGTTGTAGGTTTCACCGTTGTCGGAGCAGCAGTAGTTGTAGGTGCTGCTGTTGTTGTTGCAACAGTAGTAGGTGCTGCTGTTGTAGGTGCAGCAGTAGTTGTAGGTTGCACCGTTGTCTGAGCACCAGTAGTTGTAGGTGCTGCTGTTGTAGTTGCAACAGTAGTAGGGCCTGCTGTTGTAGGTGTAGCTGTAGTTGTAGGTTGCACCGTTGTCTGAGCAGCAGTAGTTGTAGGTGCTGCTGTTGTTGTTGCAACAGCAGTAGGGGCTGCAGTTGTAGGTGTAGCTGTAGTTGTAGGTTGCACCGTTGTCGGAGCAGCAGTAGTTGTAGGTGCTGCTGTTGTTGTTGCTTCAGTAGTAGGGCCTGCAGTTGTAGGTGAAGCAGTAGTTGTAGGTTGCACCGTTGATGGATTAGCAGTAGTTGTAGGTGCAGCTGTTGTTGTTGCAACAGTAGTAGGTGCTGCAGTTGTAGGTGAAGCAGTAGTTGTAGGTTGCACCGTTGTCGGAGCAGCAGTAGTTGTAGGTGCTACTGTTGTTGTTGCAACAGTAGTAGGGGCTGCAGTTGTAGGTAAATTAGTAGTTGTAGGTTGCACTGTTGATGGAGCAGCCGTAGTTGTAGGTGATACTGTTGTTGTTGCAACAGTAGTAGGGGCTGCTGTTGTAGGTGCAGCAGTAGTTGTAGGTGCTGCTGTTGTTGTTGCAACAGTTGTAGGGGCTGCAGTTGTAGGTACAGCAGTAGTTGTAGGTGCTGCTGTTGTTGTTGCAACAGTTGTAGGTGCTGCTGTTGTAGTTGCAACAGTAGTAGGGCCTGCTGTTGTAGGTGTAGCTGTAGTTGTAGGTTGCACCGTTGTCGGAGCAGCAGTAGTTGTAGGTGCTGCTGTTGTTGTTGCTTCAGTAGCAGGGCCTGCAGTTGTAGGTGAAGCAGTAGTTGTAGGTTGCACCGTTGATGGATTAGCAGTAGTTGTAGGTGCTGCTGTTGTAGTTGCAACAGTAGTAGGGCCTGCTGTTGTAGGTGTAGCTGTATTTGTAAGTTGCACTGTTGTTGAAGCAGCAGTAGTTGTAGGTGCAGCTGTTGTTGTTGCAACAGTAGTAGGTGCTGCTGTTGTAGGTGCAGCAGTAGTTGTAGGTTGCACCGTTGTCTGAGCAGCAGTAGTTGTAGGTGCTGCTGTTGTTGTTGCAACAGTAGTAGGGGCTGCAGTTGTAGGTGTAGCTGTAGTTGTAGGTTGCACCGTTGTTGGAGCAGCAGTAGTTGTAGGTGCTGCTGTTGTAGGTGTAGCTGTATTTGTTGGTTGCACCGTTGTTGGAGCAGCAGTAGTTGTAGGTGCTGCTGTTGTTGTTGCAACAGTAGTATGGGCTGCAGTTGTAGGTGCAGCAGTAGTTGTAGGTGCTGCTGTTGTTGTTGCAACAGTAGTAGGGCCTGCAGTTGTAGGTGAAGCAGTAGTTGTAGGTTGCACCGTTGATGGATTAGCAGTAGTTGTAGGTGCAGCTGTTGTTGTTGCAACAGTAGTAGGCGCTGCAGTTGTAGGTATAGCTGTAGTTGTAGGTTGCACCGTTGTCGGAGCAGCAGTAGTTGTAGGTGCTGCTGTTGTTGTTGCTTCAGTAGTAGGGCCTGCAGTTGTAGGTGAAGCAGTAGTTGTAGGTTGCACCGTTGATGGAGCAGCAGTAGTTGTAGGTGCAGCTGTTGTTGTTGCAACAGTAGTAGGTGCTGCTGTTGTAGGGGCAGCAGTAGTTGTAGGTTGCACCGTTGTCAGAGCAGCAGTAGTTGTAGGTGCTGCTGTTGTTGTTGCAACAGTAGTAGGTGCTGCTGTCGTAGGTGCAGCAGTAGTTGTAGGTTGCACCGTGGTCGGAGCAGCAGTAGTTGTAGGTGCTGCTGTTGTTGTTACACCAGTAGAAGGGGCTGCAGTTGTAGGTGAAGCAGTAGTTGTAGTTTGCACCGTTGTCAGAGCAGCAGTAGTTGTAGGTGCTACTGTTGTTGTTGCAACAGTAGTAGGGGCTGCAGTTGTAGGTGAATTAGTAGTTGTTGGTTGCACTGTTGATGGAGCAGCCGTAGTTGTAGGTGATACTGTTGTTGTTGCAACAGTAGTAGGGGCTGCAGTTGTAGGTGCAGCAGTAGTTGTAGGTGCTGCTGTTGTTGTTGCAACAGTTGTAGGTGCTGCTGTTGTAGTTGCAACAGTAGTAGGGCCTGCTGTTGTAGGTGTAGCTGTAGTTGTAGGTTGCACCGTTGTCTGAGCAGCAGTAGTTGTAGGTGCTGCTGTTGTTGTTGCAACAGTAGTAGGGGCTGCAGTTGTAGGTGTAGCTGTAGTTGTAGGTTGCACCGTTGTCGGAGCAGCAGTAGTTGTAGGTGCTGCTGTTGTTGTTGCTTCAGTAGTAGGGCCTGCAGTTGTAGGTGAAGCAGTAGTTGTAGGTTGCACCGTTGATGGAGCAGCAGTAGTTGTAGGTGCAGCTGTTGTTGTTGCAACAGTAGTAGGTGCTGCTGTTGTAGGGGCAGCAGTAGTTGTAGGTTGCACCGTTGTCAGAGCAGCAGTAGTTGTAGGTGCTGCTGTTGTTGTTGCAACAGTAGTAGGTGCTGCTGTCGTAGGTGCAGCAGTAGTTGTAGGTTGCACCGTGGTCGGAGCAGCAGTAGTTGTAGGTGCTGCTGTTGTTGTTACACCAGTAGAAGGGGCTGCAGTTGTAGGTGAAGCAGTAGTTGTAGTTTGCACCGTTGTCAGAGCAGCAGTAGTTGTAGGTGCTACTGTTGTTGTTGCAACAGTAGTAGGGGCTGCAGTTGTAGGTGAATTAGTAGTTGTTGGTTGCACTGTTGATGGAGCAGCCGTAGTTGTAGGTGATACTGTTGTTGTTGCAACAGTAGTAGGGGCTGCAGTTGTAGGTGCAGCAGTAGTTGTAGGTGCTGCTGTTGTTGTTGCAACAGTTGTAGGTGCTGCTGTTGTAGTTGCAACAGTAGTAGGGCCTGCTGTTGTAGGTGTAGCTGTAGTTGTAGGTTGCACCGTTGTCTGAGCAGCAGTAGTTGTAGGTGCTGCTGTTGTTGTTGCAACAGTAGTAGGGGCTGCAGTTGTAGGTGTAGCTGTAGTTGTAGGTTGCACCGTTGTCGGAGCAGCAGTAGTTGTAGGTGCTGCTGTTGTTGTTGCTTCATTAGTAGGGCCTGCAGTTGTAGGTGAAGCATTAGTTGTAGGTTGCACCGTTGATGGAGCAGCAGTAGTTGTAGGTGCAGCTGTTGTTGTTGCAACAGTAGTAGGTGCTGCTGTTGTAGGTGCAGCAGTAGTTGTAGGTTGCACCGTTGTCGGAGCAGCAGTAGTTGTAGGTGCTGCTGTTGTTGTTGCAACAGTAGTAGGTGCTGCTGTTGTAGGTGCAGCAGTAGTTGTAGGTTGCACCATTGTCGGAGCAGCAATAGTTGTAGGTGCTGCTGTTGTTGTTGCAACAGTAGTAGGTGCTGCAGTTGTAGGTGAATTAGTAGTTGTAGGTTGCACTGTTGATGGAGCTGCAGTAGTTGTAGGTGATACTGTTGTCGGAGAATTAGTTGTTGTAGGTGCTGCAGTCGTTGGAGCAGCAGTGGAAGCTGTAAATGAGGAAAAAAGTAAAACAAACATTAATTTAAAAAAAGTATAATTTATTTTTATTTTTATTAAGTAGTACTCAGTATTTACTTACATATGCCATTTACGCTAATGGAGCTGCTTTCAATGTCGAATCCAACGACTGTTGCGTTGATCAAAGTGCTCGCAATCTCATTGTTATTAGGAGCAGATGTGCTTACAAATGAAACGTCAATGACGCTGATGATTGATCCGTTACTAAAGAAAGAGAAAATATTATATTGTTTGAAATATCAGATATAGGATCCTACTCTTTATTATAAAACCTTAATAGTCTTAAAAGATTACCTGAATGAAACAACATCTAGTGATTTGAAGGACGAAGGGAATGCGTTTTGGTAAACAGGTGTAAGCTGTAGAAACACAAAACAAAACATTTTTTTCACATAAACCTTTGCCTTGGAATTTACAGCTTTACTATATGACTTGATCTTTATTGGTCTTTCATCAATTTAATAATTCCTTATCATAGCATGGAAACTGGAGTAGGTTTCTCATATTTTAAGTGGGTGCTTTAGCTCTCTGATAACATAATGCAATAAGCGTTCTAGCAGATTTTATTTATATTGGAAAAGTTACCTGTTCCTTCACCAATGTAGCCCGACCTTTAAAATCATCAGAAGATGGATCCTGCAATTCAATAGTAAATGTTTCTCGGACAGAAAGGAAAGTCACCCTTCTAAGGGCTATAGTAGTAGGTGCTGTAGTTGCAGATCGAGCCGTTGTAGGTGCTGCAGTTGTCAGGGCAACAGACGTAGGTGCAGCAGTTGTAGGTGCTGCTGTTGTTGTCGCAACAGTAGTAGGTGCTGCTGTCGTAGGAGCAGCAGTAGTTGTAGGTGCTGCTGTTGTTGTTGCAACAGTAGTAGGGGCTGCAGTTGTAGGTGAAGCAGTAGTTGTAGGTTGCACCGTTGTCGGAGCAGCAGTAGTTGTAGGTGCTGCTGTTGTTGTTGCAACAGTAGTAGGGGCTGCAGTTGTAGGTGAATTAGTAGTTGTAGGTTGCACTGTTGATGGAGCAGCAGTAGTCGTAGGTGCTGCTGCTGTGGGTGTAGCTGTAGTTGTATGTTGCACCGTTGTCGGAGCAGCAGTAGTTGTAGGTGCTGCTGTTGTTGTTGCTTCAGTAGTAGGACCTGCAGTTGTAGATGCAGCAGTAGTTGTAGGTGTTGCTGTTGTTGTTGCAACAGTTGTAGGTGCTGCTGTTGTAGTTGCAACAGTAGTAGGGGCTGCAGTTGTAGGTGAATTAGTAGTTGTAGGTTGCACTGTTGATGGAGCAGCAGTAGTTGTAGGTGTAGCTGTATGTGTTGGTTGCACCATTGTTGGAGCAGCAGTAGTTGTAGGTGCTGCTGTTGTTGTTGCAAAAGTAGTAGATGCTGCTGTCGTAGGTGCAGCAGTAGTTGTAGGTTGCACCGTTGTCTGAGTAGCAGTAGTTGTAGGTGCTGCTGTTGTTGTTGCAACAGTAGTAGGGGCTGCAGTTGTAGGTGTAGCTGTAGTTGTAGGTTGCACCGTTGTCGGAGCAGCAGTAGTTGTAGGTGCTGCTGTTGTTGTTACACCAGTAGAAGGGGCTGCAGTTGTAGGTGAAGCAGTAGTTGTAGTTTGCACCGTTGTCGGAGCAGCAGTAGTTGTAGGTGCTACTGTTGTTGTTGCAACAGTAGTAGGGGCTGCAGTTGTAGGTGAATTAGTAGTTGTAGGTTGCACTGTTGATGGAGCAGCCGTAGTTGTAGGTGATACTGTTGTTGTTGCAACAGTAGTAGGGGCTGCAGTTGTAGGTGCAGCAGTAGTTGTAGGTGCTGCTGTTGTTGTTGCAACAGTTGTAGGTGCTGCTGTTGTAGTTGCAACAGTAGTAGGGCCTGCTGTTGTAGGTGTAGCTGTAGTTGTAGGTTGCACCGTTGTCTGAGCAGCAGTAGTTGTAGGTGCTGCTGTTTTTGTTGCAACAGTAGTAGGGGCTGCAGTTGTAGGTGTAGCTGTAGTTGTAGGTTGCACCGTTGTCGGAGCAGCAGTAGTTGTAGGTGCTGCTGTTGTTGTTGCTTCATTAGTAGGGCCTGCAGTTGTAGGTGAAGCATTAGTTGTAGGTTGCACCGTTGATGGAGCAGCAGTAGTTGTAGGTGCAGCTGTTGTTGTTGCAACAGTAGTAGGTGCTGCTGTTGTAGGTGCAGCAGTAGTTGTAGGTTGCACCGTTGTCGGAGCAGCAGTAGTTGTAGGTGCTGCTGTTGTTGTTGCAACAGTAGTAGGTGCTGCTGTTGTAGGTGCAGCAGTAGTTGTAGGTTGCACCATTGTCGGAGCAGCAATAGTTGTAGGTGCTGCTGTTGTTGTTGCAACAGTAGTAGGTGCTGCAGTTGTAGGTGAATTAGTAGTTGTAGGTTGCACTGTTGATGGAGCTGCAGTAGTTGTAGGTGATACTGTTGTCGGATAATTAGTTGTTGTAGGTGCTGCAGTCGTTGGAGCAGCAGTGGAAGCTGTAAATGAGGAAAAAAGTAAAACAAACATTAATTTAAAAAAAGTATAATTTATTTTTATTTTTATTAAGTAGTACTCAGTATTTACTTACATATGCCATTTACGCTAATGGAGCTGCTTTCAATGTCGAATCCAACGACTGTTGCGTTGATCAAAGTGCTCGCAATCTCATTGTTATTAGGAGCAGATGTGCTTACAAATGAAACGTCAATGACGCTGATGATTGATCCGTTACTAAAGAAAGAGAAAATATTATATTGTTTGAAATATCAGATATAGGATCCTACTCTTTATTATAAAACCTTAATAGTCTTAAAAGATTACCTGAATGAAACAACATCTAGTGATTTGAAGGACGAAGGGAATGCGTTTTGGTAAACAGGTGTAAGCTGTAGAAACACAAAACAAAACATTTTTTTCACATAAACCTTTGCCTTGGAATTTACAGCTTTACTATATGACTTGATCTTTATTGGTCTTTCATCAATTTAATAATTCCTTATCATAGCATGGAAACTGGAGTAGGTTTCTCATATTTTAAGTGGGTGCTTTAGCTCTCTGATAACATAATGCAATAAGCGTTCTAGCAGATTTTATTTATATTGGAAAAGTTACCTGTTCCTTCACCAATGTAGCCCGACCTTTAAAATCATCAGAAGATGGATCCTGCAATTCAATAGTAAATGTTTCTCGGACAGAAAGGAAAGTCACCCTTCTAAGGGCTATAGTAGTAGGTGCTGTAGTTGCAGATCGAGCCGTTGTAGGTGCTGCAGTTGTCAGGGCAACAGACGTAGGTGCAGCAGTTGTAGGTGCTGCTGTTGTTGTCGCAACAGTAGTAGGTGCTGCTGTCGTAGGAGCAGCAGCAGTTGTAGGTGCTGCTGTTGTTGTTGCAACAGTAGTAGGGGCTGCAGTTGTAGGTGAAGCAGTAGTTGTAGGTTGCACCGTTGTCGGAGCAGCAGTAGTTGTAGGTGCTGCTGTTGTTGTTGCAACAGTAGTAGGGGCTGCAGTTGTAGGTGAATTAGTAGTTGTAGGTTGCACTGTTGATGGAGCAGCAGTAGTCATAGGTGCTGCTGCTGTGGGTGTAGCTGTAGTTGTATGTTGCACCGTTGTCGGAGCAGCAGTAGTTGTAGGTGCTGCTGTTGTTGTTGCTTCAGTAGTAGGACCTGCAGTTGTAGATGCAGCAGTAGTTGTAGGTGTTGCTGTTGTTGTTGCAACAGTTGTAGGTGCTGCTGTTGTAGTTGCAACAGTAGTAGGGGCTGCAGTTGTAGGTGAATTAGTAGTTGTAGGTTGCACTGTTGATGGAGCAGCAGTAGTTGTAGGTGTAGCTGTATGTGTTGGTTGCACCATTGTTGGAGCAGCAGTAGTTGTAGGTGCTGCTGTTGTTGTTGCAAAAGTAGTAGATGCTGCTGTCGTAGGTGCAGCAGTAGTTGTAGGTTGCACCGTTGTCTGAGTAGCAGTAGTTGTAGGTGCTGCTGTTGTTGTTGCAACAGTAGTAGGGGCTGCAGTTGTAGGTGTAGCTGTAGTTGTAGGTTGCACCGTTGTCGGAGCAGCAGTAGTTGTATGTGCTGCTGTTGTTGTTGCTTCAGTAGTAGGGCCTGCAGTTGTAGGTGAAAATGTAGTTGTAGGTTGCACCGTTGATGGAGCAGCCGTAGTTGTAGGTGATACTGTTGTTGTTGCAACAGTAGTAGGGGCTGCAGTTTGAGGTGCAGCAGTAGTTGTAGGTGCTGCTGTTGTTGTTGCAACAGTTGTAGGGGCTGCAGTTGTAGGTGCAGCAGTAGTTGTAGGTGCTGCTGTTGTAGTTGCAACAGTAGTAGGGCCTGCTGTTGTAGGTGTAGCTGTAGTTGTAGGTTGCACCGTTGTCAGAGCAGCAGTAGTTGTAGGTGCTGCTGTTGTTGTTGCAACAGTAGTAGGTGCTGCTGTTGTAGGTGCAGCAGTAGTTGTAGGTTGCACCGTTGTCTGAGCAGCAGTAGTTGTAGGTGCTGCTGTTGTTGTTGCAACAGTAGTAGGGGCTGCAGTTGTAGGTGTAGCTGTAGTTGTAGGTTGCACCGTTGTCGGAGCAGCAGTAGTTGTAGGTGCTGCTGTTGTTGTTGCAACAGTAGTAGGTGCTGCTGTTGTAGGTGCAGCAGTAGTTGTAGGTTGCACCGTTGTCTGAGCAGCAGTAGTTGTAGGTGCTGCTGTTGTTGTTGCAACAGTAGTAGGGGCTGCAGTTGTAGGTGTAGCTGTAGTTGTAGGTTGCACCGTTGTCGGAGCAGCAGTAGTTGTAGGTGCTGCTGTTGTTGTTGCTTCAGTAGTAGGGCCTGCAGTTGTAGGTGAAGCAGTAGTTGTAGGTTGCACCGTTGTCGGAGCAGCAGTAGTTGTAGGTGCTACTGTTGTTGTTGCAACAGTAGTAGGGGCTGCAGTTGTAGGTGAATTAGTAGTTGTAGGTTGCACTGTTGATGGAGCAGCCGTAGTTGTAGGTGATACTGTTGTTGTTGCAACAGTAGTAGGGGCTGCAGTTGTAGGTGCAGCAGTAGTTGTAGGTGCTGCTGTTGTTGTTGCAACAGTTGTAGGTGCTGCTGTTGTAGTTGCAACAGTAGTGGGGCCTGCTGTTGTAGGTGTAGCTGTAGTTGTAGGTTGCACCGTTGCCTGAGCAGCAGTAGTTGTAGGTGCTGCTGTTGCAACAGTAGTAGGGGCTGCAGTTGTAGGTGTAGCTGTAGTTGTAGGTTGCACCGTTGTCGGAGCAGCAGTAGTTGTAGGTGCAGCTGTTGTTGTTGCAACAGTAGTAGGTGCTGCTGTTGTAGGTGCAGCAGTAGTTGTAGGTTGCACCGTTGTCGGAGCAGCAGTAGTTGTAGGTGCTGCTGTTGTTGTTGCAACAGTAGTAGGTGCTGCAGTTGTAGGTGAATTAGTAGTTGTAGGTTGCACTGTTGATGCAGCAGCAGTAGTTGTAGGTGCTGCTGTTGTTGTTGCTTCAGTAGTAGGGCCTGCAGTTGTAGGTGAAGCATTCGTTGTAGGTTGCACCGTTGATGGAGCAGCAGTAGTTGTAGGTGCAGCTGTTGTTGTTGCAACAGTAGTAGGTGCTGCTGTTGTAGGTGCAGCAGTAGTTGTAGGTTGCACCGTTGTCGGAGCAGCAGTAGTTGTAGGTGCTGCTGTTGTTGTTGCAACAGTAGTAGGTGCTGCAGTTGTAGGTGAATTAGTAGTTGTAGGTTGCACTGTTGATGGAGCAGCAGTAGTTGTAGGTGCTGCTGTTGTTGTTGCTTCAGTAGTAGGGCCTGCAGTTGTAGGTGAAGCATTCGTTGTAGGTTGCACCGTTGATGGAGCAGCAGTAGTTGTAGGTGCAGCTGTTGTTGTTGCAACAGTAGTAGGTGCTGCTGTTGTAGGTGCAGCAGTAGTTGTAGGTTGCACCGTTGTCGGAGCAGCAGTAGTTGTAGGTGCTGCTGTTGTTGTTGCAACAGTAGTAGGTGCTGCTGTCGTAGGTGCAGCAGTAGTTGTAGGTTGCACCGTTGTCGGAGCAGCAGTAGTTGTAGGTGCTGCTGTTGTTGTTGCAACAGTAGTAGTTGCTGCAGTTGTAGGTGAATTAGTAGTTGTAGGTTGCACTGTTGATGGAGCAGCAGTAGTTGTAGGTGCAGCTGTTGTTGTTGCAACAGTAGTAGGGGCTGCTGTCGTAGGTGCAGCAGTAGTTGTAGGTTGCACCGTTGTCGGATTAGCAGTAGTTGTAGGTGCTGCTGTTGTAGGTGTAGTTGAAGGTTGCACTGTTGTCGGAGCAGCAGTAGTTGTAGGTGCTGCTGTTGTTGTTGCAACAGTAGTAGGGGCTGCAGTTGTAGGTGCAGCAGTAGTTGTAGGTGCTGCTGTTGTTGTTGCAACAGTTGTAGGGGCTGCAGTTGTAGGTGAAGCAGTAGTTGTAGGTTGCACCGTTGTCGGAGCAGCAGTAGTTGTAGGTGCTACTGTTGTTGTTGCAACAGTAGTAGGGGCTGCAGTTGTAGGTGAATTAGTAGTTTTAGGGTGCACTGTTGATGGAGCAGCAGTAGTTGTAGGTGCTGCTGTTGTTGTTGCAACAGTTGTAGGTGCTGCTCTTGTAGGTGTAGCTGTAGTTGTAGGTTGCACCGTTGTCGGAGCAGCAGTAGTTGTAGGTGCTGCTGTTGTTGTTGCTTCAGTAGTAGGGCCTGCAGTTGTAGGTGAAGCAGTAGTTGTAGGTTGCACCGTTGATGGAGTAGCAGTAGTTGTAGGTGCAGCTGTTGTTGTTGCAACAGTAGTAGGTGCTGCTGTTGTAGTTGCAGCAGTAGTTGTAGGTTGCACCGTTGTCTGAGCAGCAGTAGTTGTAGGTGCTGCTGTTGTTGTTGCAACAGTAGTAGTGGCTGCAGTTGTAGGTGTAGCTGTAGTTGTAGGTTGCACCGTTGTCGGAGCAGCAGTAGTTGTAGGTGCTGCTGTTGTTGTTGCTTCAGTAGTAGGGCCTGCAGTTGTAGGTGAAGCAGTAGTTGTAGGTTGCACCGTTGATGGAGCAGCAGTAGTTGTAGGTGCAGCTGTTGTTGTTGCAACAGTAGTAGGTGCTGCTGTTGTAGGTGCAGCAGTAGTTGTAGGTTGCACCGTTGTCGGAGCAGCAGTAGTTGTAGGTGCTGCTGTTGTTGTTGCAACAGTAGTAGGGGCTGCAGTTGTAGGTGCAGCAGTAGTTGTAGGCTGCACCGTTGTCGGAGCAGCAGTAGTTGTAGGTGCTGCTGTTGTTGTTGCTTCAGTAGTAGGGCCTGCAGTTGTAGGTGAAGCAGTAGTTGTAGGTTGCACCGTTGATGGAGCAGCAGTAGTTGTAGGTGCAGCTGTTGTTGTTGCAACAGTAGTAGGTGCTGCTGTTGTAGGTGCAGCAGTAGTTGTAGGTTGCACCGTTGTCGGAGCAGCAGTAGTTGTAGGTGCTGCTGTTGTTGTTGCAACAGTAGTAGGTGCTGCTGTCGTAGGTGCAGCAGTAGTTGTAGGTTGCACCATGGTCGGAGCAGCAGTAGTTGTAGGTGCTGCAGTTGTTGTTACACCAGTAGAAGGGGCTGCAGTTGTAGGTGAAGCAGTAGTTGTAGGTTGCACCTTTGTCGGAGCAGCAGTAGTTGTAGCTGCTACTGTTGTTGTTGCAACAGTAGTAGGGGCTGCAGTTGTAGGTAAATTAGTAGTTGTAGGTTGCACTGTTGATGGAACAGCCGTAGTTGTAGGTGCTGCTGTTGTTGTTGCAACAGTTGTAGGTGCTGCTGTTGTAGTTGCAACAGTAGTAGGGCCTGCTGTTGTAGGTGTAGCTGTAGTTGTAGGTTGCACCGTTGTCGGAGCAGCAGTAGTTGTAGGTGCTGCTGTTGTTGTTGCAACAGTAGTAGGTACTGCTGTCGTAGGTGCAGCAGTAGTTGTAGGTTGCACCGTTGTCGGATTAGCAGTAGTTGTAGGTGCTGCTGTTGTAGGTGTAGCTGTAGCTGTAGGTTGCACCGTTGTCGCAGCAGCAGTAGTTGTAGGTGCTGCAGTTGTTGTTGCTTCAGTAGTAGGGCCTGCAGTTGTAGGTGAAGCAGTTGTTGTAGGTGCTGCTGTTGTTGTTGCAACAGTAGTAGGTACTGCTGTCGTAGGTGCAGCAGTAGTTGTAGGTTGCACCGTTGTCGGATTAGCAGTAGTTGTAGGTGCTGCTGTTGTAGGTGTAGCTGTAGTTGTAGGTTGCACCGTTGTCGCAGCAGCAGTAGTTGTAGGTGCTGCTGTTGTTGTTGCTTCAGTAGTAGGGCCTGCAGTTGTAGGTGAAGCAGTAGTTGTAAGTTGCACCGTTGTTGGAGCAGCAGTAGTTGTAGGTGCTGCTGTTGTTGATGCAACAGTAGTAGGTGCTGCTGTCGTAGGTGCAGAAGTAGTTGTAGGTTGCACCGTTGTCGGATTAGCAGTAGTTGTAGGTTGCACCGTTGTCGGAGCAGCAGTAGTTGTAGGTGCTGCTGTTGTTGTTGCAACAGTAGTAGGTGCTGCTGTCGTAAGTGCAGCAGTAGTTGTAGATTGCACCGTTGTCGGAGCAGCAGTAGTTGTAGGTGCTGCTGTTGTTGTTGCAACAGTAGTAGTGGCTGCAGTTGTAGGTGTAGCTGTAGTTGTAGGTTGCACCGTTGTCGGAGCAGCAGTAGTTGTAGGTGCTGCTGTTGTTGTTGCTTCAGTAGTAGGGCCTGCAGTTGTAGGTGAAGCAGTAGTTGTAGGTTGCACAGTTGATGGAGCAACAGTAGTTGTAGGTGCAGCTGTTGTTGTTGCAACAGTAGTAGGGGCTGCAGTTGTAGGTGAATTAGTAGTTGTAGGTTGCACTGTTGATGTTGTAGGTGATACTGTTGTTGTTGCAACAGTAGTAGGGGCTGCAGTTGTAGGTGCAGCAGTAGTTGTAGGCTGCACCGTTGTCGGAGCAGCAGTAGTTGTAGGTGCTGCTGTTGTTGTTGCTTCAGTAGTAGGGCCTGCAGTTGTAGGTGAAGCAGTAGTTGTAGGTTGCACCGTTGATGGAGCAGCAGTAGTTGTAGGTGCAGCTGTTGTTGTTGCAACAGTAGTAGGTGCTGCTGTTGTAGGTGCAGCAGTAGTTGTAGGTTGCACCGTTGTCGGAGCAGCAGTAGTTGTAGGTGCTGCTGTTGTTGTTGCAACAGTAGTAGGTGCTGCTGTCGTAGGTGCAGCAGTAGTTGTAGGTTGCACCGTGGTCGGAGCAGCAGTAGTTGTAGGTGCTGCAGTTGTTGTTACACCAGTAGAAGGGGCTGCAGTTGTAGGTGAAGCAGTAGTTGTAGGTTGCACCTTTGTCGGAGCAGCAGTAGTTGTAGCTGCTACTGTTGTTGTTGCAACAGTAGTAGGGGCTGCAGTTGTAGGTAAATTAGTAGTTGTAGGTTGCACTGTTGATGGAACAGCCGTAGTTGTAGGTGCTGCTGTTGTTGTTGCAACAGTTGTAGGTGCTGCTGTTGTTGTTGCAACAGTAGTAGGTACTGCTGTCGTAGGTGCAGCAGTAGTTGTAGGTTGCACCGTTGTCGGATTAGCAGTAGTTGTAGGTGCTGCTGTTGTAGGTGTAGCTGTAGTTGTAGGTTGCACCGTTGTCGCAGCAGCAGTAGTTGTAGGTGCTGCAGTTGTTGTTGCTTCAGTAGTAGGGCCTGCAGTTGTAGGTGAAGCAGTTGTTGTAGGTTGCACCGTTGTTGAATTAGCAGTTGTTGTAGGTGCTGCTGTTGTTGTTGCAACAGTAGTAGGTACTGCTGTCGTAGGTGCAGCAGTAGTTGTAGGTTGCACCGTTGTCGGATTAGCAGTAGTTGTAGGTGCTGCTGTTGTAGGTGTAGCTGTAGTTGTAGGTTGCACCGTTGTCGCAGCAGCAGTAGTTGTAGGTGCTGCTGTTGTTGTTGCTTCAGTAGTAGGGCCTGCAGTTGTAGGTGAAGCAGTAGTTGTAGGTTGCACCGTTGTTGGAGCAGCAGTAGTTGTAGGTGCTGCTGTTGTTGATGCAACAGTAGTAGGTGCTGCTGTCGTAGGTGCAGAAGTAGTTGTAGGTTGCACCGTTGTCGGATTAGCAGTAGTTGTAGGTTGCACCGTTGTCGGAGCAGCAGTAGTTGTAGGTGCTGCTGTTGTTGTTGCAACAGTAGTAGGTGCTGCTGTCGTAGGTGCAGCAGTAGTTGTAGATTGCACCGTTGTCGGAGCAGCAGTAGTTGTAGGTGCTGCTGTTGTTGTTGCTTCAGTAGTAGGTGCTGCTGTCGTAGGTGCAGCAGTAGTTGTAGGTGGCACTGTTGTCGGAGCAGCAGTAGTTGTACGTGCTGCTGTTGTTGTTGCAACAGTAGTAGGGGCTGCAGTTGCAGGTGCTGCAGTTGTGGGTGCAGCAGTTGTAGATGAAGCAGTCGTTGGTGCAGAAGTTGTGTGTGCTGAAGTTGAGGGTGCAGCACTTGTAGGTGAAGCAGTCGTTGGTGCAGGAGTTGTGGGTGCAGCAGTTGTAGGTGGAGCAGTTGTTGAAGATGACGCAACTGTAAAAAAAACTTGACAAATATCTTTTGGGTCAATATTCTATGGCTCATGGAGTTGGGACACATTATCTGAGAGTTAGGAATCTAACAATTACTTTAATGTAAATCTCAGAACTGAGTGCCACATTTGTAAAATGTTCCTTTTCTAACATTTTACACTTTATGCTTCTTAGTAAAAACCATTTAATGTATACTGATTAGGGACCTCAATTTTCAAAATGTATATTGCATTCAAAAAAACGAATTACTCGCCAAAACTGCATGAGATAAGCACTAGGTTGACATGCCTGTTAAGATAATACTCATAGTGTCTCTTAGAATACATTATTATTTCGATATTTGGAGCTGGGAGATCAAGGGACCCCTGTGAATATGACAAAGCCATTTTCTTCGTTGCCAAAGTTGACACTTTTTATTCAACGTTATTTAACCACAACCCTAACAATCTACCAAGAGCCCGCTAAAGCCTCTTAAAGACAGTAACATTTCCCATGGTGAAACAAGGTGAAGGTAAAAGGTTCAAAGTGAGTAAGAAATAAGACTACACTCTGTTTCTTTGTTTTTGACATATTTTATCAGTTGCTAGAACTTCACCTTAACTTTATGTTGTGTCGTTTCCTACACCTTATCCACTCTTTTTATATAAAAAAACATTCATAGCAATCGGTTTATCATCATAAAGCTTACCTATTAAAATCAGGGAAATTGATACGATCCGTCCGACATCCATCCTCTTTTCCTTTGAATCTATAAAATCAAGCAAAACAGATATTTTCTCACAAAAGTGGCAGGTAAAAGCCTTTTTTACACCAGTTTTTAGAACTATTAATAATTTAGTAGTACAAAGTCTGCAAATGATAGTATTCAGTGTTGCAGTACTTTTATTTTTTTAAATTATAGGTGCCTATCACATCCAATGTAAAACAGTTTGATACCAACAAATGTATAACAATATGTCCCCACCTCATTATAATTCATGTTCTGAATCCCATATATTAAAACAACTTTGATAAAATGCAACTTTTTCTTCTGTAAAGGTCATCTGTGTTTCAGCATACTGTACAACAATTGTATTAATGTGGTTTACTGACAAAATACTTGACACAAACATTGGTCACTTTAAATAAAGAAATAATGTATACCTATGTTTAAAAAAAACATGTTTATAATAGAATAATAATGTGTTTTATCTGAAACAGTGCATTTCTCTCCACGCCGCAAAATGAAATGTTATATTGTACTTAGTGAAATGGAAAACACATATTGAATATGTGAATGACTGCCACACACACACAGACACACAAACACACACAGACACTCACACACAAAAACAATTTCAGACGAAACCCTGAATATTTACCAAAAAATGTACTTACCCATCATTAAGAGATAAAAGATGAAAAGTTATAAAATCCCTTTTTCTATCTGAATTCGATGTACCAAACTATTTCAGTGTCTTTTTTATATAGTCCTTTTCAAGTCTGGGAGATTGCAAACCTCTCCTCTTATATGGCAGTCCTCATCTATACCAAGGCCTTTATATTGGAATGAAATAACGGCTTATGACGTGGCTCAACGGTCATACATTTTTTAAATATGTTGTTACACCTCAGCAACATACACAACCATATATCTGGATAGAGAATGTCAGACTTCATATTCAAAGTATTTCCTCTTCTTTTGTCTGAGGAACAGGTTTCTTTCGCAATCCATCATTTGAATATTGAAGGAGGTTTCACCAGTGTTACAGAAGGTTATGACTAACAAATACATATAGATTTCAAGTAAAGTCAGAATCAGAATCAGAATACAGCACATTTAAGTGCTAATTGAGCAGGAAGAAATGCAAAAAAACAAAAGCAATTGCCTAATCAAACAAAGACAATATGAGTACACTAAATAGTATTTATATTTATAAAAACGTGATGCCGCATGAAATCACTGCATTTAATAAACAGTGAAAATCGACAAGTATTTTTCTCCAACCTCAATCTCAATGTAAAATACATAATTGTTTAAGTTTATACTTGCAGTATATTGTTCTTAATAAGACAAATACATTGCAAAAATATAAAGACCAGAAGAAAAAGACAAAATATCTTTTTATATGTGTATCTTTTTCCGATTCTTTCTATCAAAAATAATCAATCAATCAATCAATGTTTATTTATATAGCCCAATATCACAAATGTTACATTTGTCTCAGTGGACTTCACAGTTTGTACAGAATATCAGTATGACAATACGACACCCTCTGTCCTTAGACCCTCACATCCAACCTGGTCTCACCAGAATGCGTGACTCCACCACGAGTCCTTAACACCGCAGTGCGTGGTGGAGTCACGCACTCTGCTACATTTACGTGTCTCCACCACGCAAACAAAAATTAAAATCAGGGAAATTGATACGATCCATCCGACATCCATCCTCTTTTCCTTTGAATATATAAAATCAAGTAAAACAGATATTTTCTCACAAAAGTGGCAGGTAAAAGCCTTTTTTACATCAGTTTTTAGAACTATTAATAATTTAGTAGTACAAAGTCTGCAAATGATAGTATTCAGTGTTGCAGTAATTTTATTTTTTAAAGCTTTAGGTACCTAACACATCCAATGTAAAACAGTTTGATACCAACAAATGTATAACAATATGTTCCCACCTCATTATAATTCATGTTCTGAATCCCATATATTGAAACAACTTTGATAAAATGCAACCTTTTCTTCTGTAAAGGTCATCTGTGTTTCAGCATACTGTACAACAATTGTATTAATGTGGTTTACTGACAAAATACTTGACACAAACATTGGTCACTTTAAATAAAGAAATAATGTATACCTATGTTTAAAAAAAACATGTTTATAATAGAATAATAATGTGTTTTATCTGAAACAGTGCATTTTTCTCCACGCCGCAAAATGAAATGTTATATTGTACTTAGTGAAATGGAAAACACATATTAAATATGTGAATGACTGCCACACACACACAGACACACAAACACACACAGACACTCACACACAAAAACAATTTCAGACGAAACCCTGCATATTTACCAAAAAATGTACTTACCCATCATTAAGAGATAAAAGATGAAAAGTTATAAAATCCCTTTTTCTATCTGAATTCGATGTACCAAACTATTTCAGTGTCTTTTTTATATAGTCCTTTTCAAGTCTGGGAGATTGCAAACCTCTCCTCTTATGTGGCAGTCCTCATCTATACCAAGGCCTTTATATTGGAATGAAATAAAGGCTTATGACGTGGCTCAAAGATCATAATGTTTTTAAATATGTTGCTACACCTCAGCAACATACACAACCATACATCTGGATAGAGAATGTCAGACTTCATATTCAAAGTATTTCCTCTTCTTTTGTTTGAGGAACAGGTTTCTTTGGCAATCCATCATTTGAATATTGAACAGAAGGTTATGACTAACAAATACCTATAGATTTCAAGTAAAGTCAGAATCAGAATCAGAATACAGCACATTTAAGTGCTAATTGAGCAGGAAGAAATGCAAAAAACAAAAGCAATTGCCTAATGAAACAAAGACAATAAGAGTACACTAAATAGTATTTATATTTATAAAAACGTGATGCCGCATGAAATCACTGCATTTAATAAACAGTGAAAATCGACAAGTATTTTTCTCCAACCTCAATCTCAATGTAAAATACATAATTGTTTAAGTTTATACTTGCAGTATATTGTTCTTAATAAGACAAATACATTGCAAAAATATAAAGACCAGAAGAAAAAGACAAAATATCTTTTTATATGTGTATCTTTTTCCGATTCTTTCTATCAAAAATAATCAATCAATCAATCAATGTTTATTTATATAGCCCAATATCACAAATGTTACATTTGTCTCAGTGGACTTAATAATAATAATAATAAATTCTATTTATATAGCGCTTTTCTAAGACCCAAAGACGCTTTACATTTGGGGAAGGGTAGACAGACAAGGACAGGCAACAAAACAACAACAAAACAAAAACAAAACAGAGAAAAAAACAAAAAACAAAAAAACAGAAAGCAGTCAGGAGGAAGTGGGGGGTGGGGGGGGGGCTTATGGGTATACAGATTTGAAGAGATGGGTTTTGAGGCGGGACTGGAACATGGTGAGGGACTCGGACTCACGGAGGTCTTGGGGGAGGGAGTTCCAGAGCTTCGGGGCTGCAACAGAGAATGCTCTGTCCCCAAAGCTCCGGAGTTTGGCCTTGGGGATGGAAAGCAGACCGGCTGAGGTGGATCTGAGGGACCGGGGTGGTTGGTAGAGGATGAGGAGGTCAGTGAGGTAGGGGGGGGGCCAGGTGGTGGAGGGCTTTGTAGGTGAGTACCAGGAGTTTGTGTTGGATGCGGTGTGAAACGGGGAGCCAGTGAAGTTCTTTGAGGACCGGGGTGATATGATGCCATGATTTGGTGTGGGTGAGGAGTCTGGCGGCTGCGTTCTGGACACGCTGAAGTCTATTGAGGGATGTAGTGCTGATGCCGTAGAGGAGTGCGTTGCAATAGTCCAGGCGGGAGGAGATGAAGGCGTGAATAAGTCGCTCAGCTGCAGGGCGGATGAGAGAGGGACGGAGTTTGGCGATATTGCGGAGGTGGAAAAATGAGGTTTTTACAACTTGGCGGATGTGGGGCTCGAGGGAGAGGGTGGAGTCAAATATCACGCCAAGGTTGCGTGCCTGGGTGGAGGGGGAAACAGGGGTGCCATCGATGGTGAGTGTCAGGTTGGGGGTTTTGCTGAGGGTGGATTTGGAGCCGATGAGGAGGAGTTCAGTTTTATTGCTGTTGAGTTTGAGGAAGTTGTGTACCATCCAGGATTTTATAGCAGTCAGACAGGATTCGATGTGGGTGAGGGGGGGGTTGTGGAGGGATTTGGTGCTGAGGTAAATCTGTGTGTCATCAGCGTAGCAGTGAAAGTCCAGGTTGTAGTGGTGTAGAATCTGACCAAGGGGGAGGATGTAGATGATGAAGAGGAGGGGGCCGAGTACTGAACCTTGGGGAACACCTTGGGTGACTGAAGCTGTGGCAGAGGAGTGGTTGTTGAGGGAGATGAAGTGGGATCTGTCAGAGAGGTAGGACTGGAGCCACCTGAGTGCAGCACTTCGATACCGATGTCCTGGAGTCGGGTGAGCAGGATGTTGTGGCTCACGGTGTCGAAGGCTGCACTCAGGTCGAGGAGGATGAGGATGTTAAGTGAACCGGTGTCAGCAGAGGTGAGGAGGTCGTTGAGGACTTTGGTGAGTGCCGTTTCTGTGCTGTGATGGGGACGAAAACCAGACTGAAGGGGTTCAAAAAGGTGATTTGTTTGGAGATGGCGGTGGAGTTGTTTGGAGATGATACGTTCTATTGTTTTTGAGAGAAAGGGGAGGTTGGAGATGGGGCGGTAATTACTGAGGGAGGAGGGATCCAGACCGGGTTTCTTGAGGATGGGAGTGACAGCAGCAGTTTTGAAGGCAGAGGGAACGGTTCCTTGGGACAGGGAGGAGTTGAAAAGGTTGACAAGGCAAGGGCAGAGGACGGGGAGGCAGGACTTCAGTAGAGGGGTGGGTAAGGGGTCAAGCGAGCAGGTTGTGGGTTTGGAGGAGCTGATCAGTTTGAGTATTTCAGGGGGGGTAACCAGAGTGAACTGGGAGAGGCGGCCGTGGGGAGGGGGCCTCGGGAGGTCCAGGGAGATGGAGGGAGAAATTGTGGCGGTGGGTGTTGGGGGAGATGTTTGTGTGTGAGAAGCAGTGGATAGGGAGAGATTAATGGCAGTGATTTTGTCCGAGAAAAACTGGAGGAATGAACTGCATAAGGTGGAAGTGGATGAAGAGAGGGTGTCAGCACGGGGTTTGAGGAGCTTGTTGACGGTGGAGAAGAGGGTCCTGGGGTTACGGGAGGGGTCGGTAAAGATGGTGGAGAAGTAGGCAGATTTTGCGGCAGTGAGGGCGTCTCTGTAGGTAGTGAGATGGAGTTTGTATGATTCATGGTGAACTGTGAGGGATGATTTCATAGATAGGCGTTCAAGCTGGCGGCCGGTTTGCTTCAATTTTCGGAGTGCAGGGGTGAACCAGGGTGAGGAGGTTTTGAAAGTGACGTTTTTCCTTTTGAGGGGGGCCAGGCTGTTGAGCGAGGCGAGTAGGGTGGAGTTAAGGTGGCACAGAGGAGGAGGATTGTTGTGGAGACGAGGAAGATCCACGGCATGGCAGGAGGATGTGAACAGCGGGACAGGACAGATGCACCCCAGAGATGAAGGCAGGAGGCAGAGAGAGTCCACGGTTGTTGCGTGGGGTGGAGACAGACAGATAGGCGATGGAGCAGGTAGCAGTAGCCACCCGGCACTTTGATGGCTGAGTGAGGGCAGCCGGCTACAGCCAGCAACGGAGGCAGAAGGTAAAGTAAGTTAAAAATGTTAAAAACAATGTGCAGTGCAGTGCAGTGCAGGGCAGTAGTCCAATTCGGAAGTTTTGCAAGAACAGAGGGTAACAGAGGCGGAGAAGCG